GCGAATAGAGGCCATAGCTCAGGCGTGAGGGCACAGCAGAGCAGCGGCAGCAGCAGAGGGGACAGGAGAAAGCGGCAGTGCACACGAGAGGCGCGCGAGGGCGCTAACGAAGGGGCGCGCGAGGGCGCTAACGAAGGGGCGCGCGAGGGCGCTAACGAGGGTGCGCGCGAGGGCGCTAACGAGGGGCGCGCGAGGGCGCTAACGAGGGCGCACGAGGGCGCTACGAGGCTAGGGCACGGGGTAGCGTGGTAACCGCATGCGAGCGGTGGTGGGCCCTTAAAAAACGGTCGGTAGGTCCTAGGGACCTCCTGCTCTGAATACCATGTCAGAATTACTAGGCAAGAATGATTGAACTAGCAGAATTTTGGGTACAAATATGAAACCCTAGTTGGGGTTGTACCCCATATTGGCTACCCCACTACAGCCTACAAGCATAATACAGTTTAACACGACACACTGAGGACTACGCTTGCGGCTCTTGGGTTTGCGCCTTCTACTGCTGACCCGTCGCTGTTTCTGCGCACCGACACTTCGCTGCAGCCGTTCTACATCCTCGTGTACGTCGACGACTTGGTGTTTGCCACTGCTGACACTGAGGCTCTCGCCCACGTGAAGTCGGAGCTGCAGAAGAGACACACGTGCACAGACTTGGGCGAGCTGCGCAGCTACCTTGGCTTGCAGATCACCCGGGACAGAGCACGCCGCACCATCACCCTGACTCAGTCACACATGGTGCAACAGGTCCTTCAGCACTTCGGCTTCACCTGGTCCTCAGCACAGGCCACTCCTCTGGCTACAGGTCACTCGCTCTCAGCTCCACCTTCGGACGAGTCCGTAGAGCCGAGTGGTCCTTACCCAGAGCTAGTTGGCTGCCTCATGTACCTGATGACTTGCACTCGTCCTGACCTCGCGTACCCTCTTGGTCTTCTGGCTCGCTACGTGGCTCCTGGTCGGCACCGACCTGAGCACATGACTACTGCTAAGAGGGTACTGCGCTACTTGTGCAGCACATCAGGCATGGGGCTAGTGCTTGGAGGGACGAGCCCAGTTGTTCTCACTGGGCACTCAGACGCTTCTTGGGTTGACGACCAGGCTACTCAGCGGTCGTCACAGGGTTACACCTTCAGCCTTGGCTCTGGTTCAGTTTCGTGGCGTTCTACACGCTCGTCTTCAGTTCTCAGCTCCAGTTGTGAGGCTGAGATCTACGCCACAGCCATGGCTGCACAGGAGTTACGCTGGCTCACCTACCTGCTGACTGACTTGGGAGAGCAGCCTAGTTCTCCTCCAGTGCTGTACGTCGACAACAAGGCCGCCATTGCCTTGTGTGAGGAGCACAGACTGGAGCACAGAATGAAGCACATCGCTCTGCGTTACTTCCTGGCTCGAGAGTTGCAGCAGCGTGGTCAGCTTCGTCTGCGGCACGTGGCCACTCGGGCCAACACTGCTGATATATTCACCAAGGCGCTTCCGTCTGGTGATCATCAGCGTTTCTGCACTTTGTTGGGCCTTGTGCCTACGTTTCCACACTTGCTGTAGTCTCTGCTTGTACTGTAATCTATATATTTATACCTGCATGCTTGCTCTTGCTAGGTAGAGATCACTGTGCTGTTCTTGCTGCTTATATACCTCTGCATGTGGACTGGCCTTGTGGCCGTTTGCTTGTGCTCAGTGTGTGTGGTGACGTTGTGATCCACCCTGAGCTGTGTTTTGTTTCTTCTCTTGACTGGTCTTGTGACCATTGCTTGCTCTGGCTATCCCCCATTTCGCCTATGGGGGTGTGTCAAAACATATGCATGTTAGTATCTAGGCTATATTGGGGCTAGCCTTAGAGGGTACAGAAATTTTCTCGACACTCTCTAGTCTTCTACCCCAACCTTCACCTAATCTCACATACTTCTCATTCTAACACTTGTTGTCGATTGAACGAACAGGTGGAACACCTAGATAATGACGCGCTGGATAGCCATGGAGCTTCCCATGAGACCTTGAAGTTAGTAGCTGACAATGAAACAGAACCCCATAATGCTCCAGGTACAATGTCCGTCAGTTGGACACGAGAAGTGTACCAGTAGCTTCGTAATATCGAGGCGATTCCGAATTTATTATCAATGTTACCAACTGACGCGTGGCCTTCACGAAAGAGCTCTTTAAAGCCATCTGGCGGAATCCATGGCGGGGCTGACATTGTCCAGAACGGGTGGCGGAGCCTCAAGAAGGTGATTCTGCACTTTCGGAAATGAAAAATGATGTAACACTGATACTTACGTATGCTTTTCTAAGAGTGCGCTTGTGGACTTGGCGGAAGCCTGATGTGAGCTGCGTGATGGTGGTTGGGTTTGGTTTTGTCGTTACTGTTTGTTCGGGTTTCCTAAAGCTGCGATCCACTGTCGACCATTCTGCCTTCGCCACCTGCCTCTGGCGAATTCTCCTCTCCTCAACCTTCGCGCAACCCTTTTCAAGTTCAGTATTTTTTTAGCCCTTGCCATTCTAGGTGCCGGCTTTAAACTCCCAACCCAACTTTCAAATGTATATCAAAAATTTAAGAAGTATTTTACATATTACTGTACCATTCTGTTTCCAAATCCCTACAAGTTTCCGAGACGCACTTGACACAAATTTGAGGGAAAATATGTCAATGGTAACTTACATGGGGCACTAAAACGCGTACGGTAACGATTTCAACGCGTTTGGTAACTCGCTTAACGCGTTTGGTAACCTGCTTAACACGTTTGGTAACTCGTTTAACACATTTGGTTGTCAGAATCCCAGTCACTAACCACTGGGATAAAAGGGCTTGTTTAAGTAGCGGGTGAGTGCGCCCATAACCCCCCAGGCCGACGTGCCTGTAACCCTTCCCTAGGATCATCGGGGATCTCCAGTGGACCTCTGACACCCCCCCGCACTGGGATGCCCGAAGTGCACACACCGGGAATCGAACCCGAGACCTTCGCTCTGATACCATGTCAGAATCCCAGTCACTAACCACTGGGATAAAAGGGCTTGTTTAAGTAGCGGGTGAGTGCGCCCATAACCCCCCAGGCCGACGTGCCTGTAACCCTTCCCTAGGATCATTGGGGATCTCCAGTGGACCTCTGACATTGGTAACTCTACACTAGCAGCCCATCACGCGAATGGTAACTACATGAAATTCCCACCGAAATTGAGCCTGATTCTGGTTTTTCCCGCTCGCGTCAGAATAAATTGACAAATCCTGAAGCAGAAAATTCTGACACATTCTCTGAAATTCTGACACAAAGTTCCGAAATTCTGACACACTTTCCGAAATCCTGACACACTTTAAGATTGTCAGGCAAATTACAAAAACGTAAGTTTTGTGAAAACAGCTTTTCTTACATAAATGTTTCTGGCGCACTTTCCGCAAACTGTTTGTACTTTATTCTATCGTGCAGCCGGGGCAAACAAATCTATATCCCTTTCAGATGGCAAATAAATTTGAGAGCAACAACCTTAAACTTCTTGCGACCAGGCGTTTATGGATCTTAATTAAAAAAATGAAAGATGTAATTTTAAAAAGGTTTTTTTTTCCACTTGAAAAAATCTTCCAACGTTGCAGTATTAAAAAAAAAGTAAAATTCCCTATGTCCTTTCGGGAATAGTTTTTTATCGTTTTGCAAGTTCGCAATCATGCTATCAAAATATGATGTTATCCATTTTTGTACGAGCTACATAATTATATATAAATTCTGAACTTTTCGGTCCGTGGTAATAGAACAAACGGGGTCCTTAATTTTCGTGGCGGGACGCGTTCAAGAAAGATAATGATGTGCGTAAAAGCTCTCAAACTCGATAAATTCCTCATTTTCAGGAAGATTTCGGCGGGAATTTCATGTAGTTACCATTCGCGTGATGGGCTGCTAGTGTAGAGTTACCAAATGTGTTAAGCGAGTTACCAAACGTGTTAAGCGAGTTACCAAACGCGTTAAGCGAGTTACCAAACGCGTTGAAATCGTTACCGTACGCGTTAAAGTGCCCCATGTAAGTTACCATTTTCCCCAAATTTGAGCCTCGTTCGTGCTGGGAGGAACTGTGCCTGAGCGCCGAAGCGCGTGGTTACTCGTCAGCATGAATCTTCTCTTCGCAAAACTCACGGTCCAAGTTAGCCAATCATCTTCGTTGATTGGGTCGAATAATGTTGTTTCGTGAAGTCGCACGGCCACAACGCTGGCATCGTCGCTGCGTCACCCACATTCGCCTCCGTCATTCGCCTACCTGCTGTGGTTAGGACTGGCCGGTCGAAATCCTACAACTCAGGGCTCTGTTCTCCCAAACATAAAGCCGAAATGTGTTCAGTGCAAGGTGCCTTGCCCTCGGATTAGGCTGCTGCACGCGGTCTACGCTCCTGCTGCACGGTACAGGGACGCAGCCAGCGATGGGACATCGTCGAGATCCTGTCTCGACGCTGTGCTTCCCTTCCTCCTCGGCCACATGTTCCACAATCGGGGTGGTTCTGCTAGTCCTTTACTTCGTAGCTCTCGGGCCTTCGCTTAGGTCACCAATCTCGTCTCCGGCTTTTGATGCGAAGGAACTGCACAGACACACGGAGGTTTCACATACTCTCGTTCGGGTAGAAGAGTTGGGCGACTCGGACCCAGAGGAAACATGGCAACAGAAAAAGCAGCAGGACGCGCATCAACAGAAAAATCAGGACCAACGGTCGCAGCTGGGATGGGAGACTCAGGAGCAACGGCAGAAGCGAGAGCAGGAGCTTCTTGCGACGACGAAAGAAAAAGGCGATTCGGCGAACCTCCGAAGCAGCAAGAAAAGCACGCGAGGCACGAGGACGGAGTCCCGTGGGGTGAACAACGAGGATGACGCGCGGAAACCCCGCGGGAGTATCACTCGCAAAGGCGGGAGTCTAGAATCGGAAGCGTGCGAGGGTCGGAAGGTGTATGTGTACGAGTTACCCTCTCAATTGAACCGCGTGTTGCTGGACGACTGCCTGGACACCAACATCAAGGGCTTCTGCGCCACCAGCCGGCATGGCGGGCTGGGAACCAGACTGCCGCCCTGGGATGACGCGTTTGAAGGGAAGGAGCCACGCAACCGTCACGGTGCTGTTAGCAGAAGCAGCGGCAGCAGCGGCAGCAGCAGCAGCAGCAGCAGCAGCAGCAGCAGCAACAATGCGAAACCTGATGGGTCTCGACGGCTGCTTTCAATCAGCAGGAGCAGCGGTAGCAGTAGCAGCGGCAACGGCAGCAGCGGCAGCAGTGTAGCGGCGGAGGGCGGCGAGGGTTGGAGAAACCAGTGGTATGCCACCGAAAATTTCAATCTGGCTCTCATTTTCCACTCGCGTCTCCTGCAGCACCCCTGCCGAACCTCCGACCCAGACTCGGCAGACCTCCTGTTCATCCCGGCGTACCTAGGTTGGATGATTTGGTCGCTCGTGGAACACGGGCTCTTCGTAAAGCGAGACGAACCCGTGGCTGATCTTGAGCGGTTTTTACTAAACAATGCGGATTTTAAGAGGCTCGTGAATCGTGGAGATCACGTGCTCGTTCTCAGCCGTCCGATCTGGGACTTCGTTCGCGTAAAGGACAAGCCTGACGGGTGGGGGACTGACCTGTGGTGGCGACCTACCTTCAATAATGTCACACTTCTTACAGTGGAGGCTCCTACGGAGTGGCTTGAACGGGAAGTCTTTTCTGTTCCTTACACGACCTGTTTCCATCCTGTAGGCTCGGCCGACCTGGAGGGGTGGGTTCGGCATGTTCGGGAGCAGCCTCGGCCATACCTGTACTCGTTTGTAGGCGGGAAGCGAGCGCATGCGACCTGGGAGGGCTCGCTAAGAGGCGTCTTGCTGAACGAGTGTGAGAACGATCCTCAGAGGTGCATCTTTTTAGAGTGTACTGTTGCTGACGCGGAGGCCGCGACTGCAGCAGCGGTGGAGATAGGCAGGCAGGCGCAGAAATGGAAGGAGGGGAGCAGCAGGGAGGGGAAGGAGAAAGAGAATGAGATTGAGCCAGATTTTCCCCTGAGGGGATGCATGGATCCCAGGAGAGTGGCTGGCGTGATGCTTCAGTCCGAGTTTTGCCTGCAACCTCTCGGGGACAGCCTCACTAGAAGGTCATTCTTTGACTCCATAATATCGGGGTGCATTCCTGTAGTGTTCACTGAAGGCACGTTTGATTTACAGTACCCCTGGTTCTTCGCTCCCGGACCTGAGGCTCGGAGGAACGTGTCAGTGATGGTGGATTCGGATGATGTGATTGGTCGGAAGGTTCGGATTGGGGAGGTGCTGGCGGGAATATCGGAGGAGAGGAAGAGGGAGATGCGGGAAGAGCTTTATAAGCACATCCCGAGGCTGCTTGTAAGGGATCATACGAGAGAGAGGGAGGTGGGAGAGGAGGGTAAGTTTGCAGATATGGTGGATACGACCATCGAAGGTTTGATTGAGAGGAAGAAGTTGAGGAGAGCTGGCGTCGCCGGGAGCTATTTCCCTTAATGGGGTTTTTAGGGAGGTGGAGGAGAAAGGGGTGTTTGGGGCCACTCTGGATCTTGCAATGGCTTCGATTTATGAGGGTGTAGCAGGGACACAGTCGGCAGTAGTAATGGCTTCGGTTCTGACCGTTCAGCTGATGCGCGTTTGGGCTAATTGTGTGATTAGTTCTGACTGACATAAGGGCTTCACTGTAGACAGTGATTTAAATGCTCATGACATCTTCAAAGTCAGGGAGTAGCTTAAATCCAGGGTGGCATTTGGGCTGTTGTGGCCATGCTTCCTCTCGCTCGCTCCCTGTACTCCACTCTTCCACTAACTCCCGTGCTTCCTGCTCGCAGTTTCAGCTACGCCAGCTGCCAGCTGTCGCGCTCTCATTAGTGGACCGCCACTGGAGTGGCAGCTCCCCATTCACCATGGTGAGGGGCGGGGCGTGGCTTGTGGGGGAAATCGTGGCAGCATGTGCTGCTGGTGCTGAAGGGCGTGGGGAGGCAGGAGTGCAGGCAGCAGCGGCATCATTGGAAGAGGAGGAGGCCGTTCTGAGGGACGGGAGCATGGAGTACTGTGCAGGCAGGGAACGAGAGTGTGAGCTGCTGTTGTGACGTTTGGAAAGCTGTTCACGGTGCGAGGTATGGCATGGCTCATGGGGAACATTGTGCCGGCGTGTGCTGGTCAAGGCTACGAGGGAGGCGTTGCTGAGAGCAGGAGGTGTGTGGGCGAAGCAGCAGTCTGCTGTGCTGTGCCTGCAATACATGCGGACGGATCTTCTGAAAGGGGCTGGGGCGAATACCAGTAGTGTGGAAGGGAGCACTGTTGGAGTGGGCGGGGCAGCCCAGCTCCCTCAGCAAGATGAGAGGCATGGGCTGGTTCATAAGTCTGTTTGTGGAAATGTGTGCTGCTGTGGACGAGGTGGGCGAGCAGGGAGGCTGCTTTGGAGTGCGAGAGCTGACTTGGCAGGTTTGCACTGTACGAGGCATAGCATGGCTTCTGATACGTCTCGAGGGATGGTTAGAGGCATAGCACGGCTCGTGGGCTGTGAGTCGTGGAGTTGTGGGCAGCTGTGAGGAGAGGTGCGGACCAGGAGAAGCAGACGCAGCAGGTGCAGCAGCAGCAGCTGGGTTTGTAAGGGTTTGAAGCAGCCTCTTGTGCGGGAAGGAATGTACGATATATGGCGATGATGTGGATTGCTCTGACGTGCTGTGCCTGTGTGGCATGTTAATGGGGCTAGTGAGTTGTGTGCCTCGGATGGAGCTGTGGGTAGCGGAAATGGGCTCCAGACAATTCACCTGTAACTGTTTCAGGAGTAAACTTGTGAAATGGGTCCGCTCTCCACCATAGCAACTTTCACTTGCTAGTATACCCATGCAATAATTTGTGCGGCTATTATTTTAAAACCTGTGTCTTTTGAATTGTGAAGCCCATGGTAGTACCGTACATTGACACAAGCCATCGCAAATATGGACACCGACGAACTGTTGTTATCTTGAGGGTGCTTCAGACGAGCAGACGCGGACGGCGAAAATTTTGAGCGACATGGTGAATGTGCGTGGTGTGTAAATGATTAATGGTTCCCATCAATCAAATCTACCTTAGGGCGTGGGTTCGTTTTAGCTCAACGTACCCAAACATTAGAAAGTATGTATTAGCTGCTTAAAACATACATCGCATCGCATCTTACCTTAACAAAGTAAATTCAGGTGAAAACGAACTCGACTGGCACGCCCTTAGGGTTTTGTACACAAGAGGCAGATGGTGTTGCACCACGCGCCGCGTCACCCGCAAGTCTTGCTGCATCATGTTCCTCGTGAGAGCTGTCCCCTCTCTTTGCACTGTTGGGTCGAGCGAGCGGCGTTGCGATGCGCCACTCATCATGCAAGCCGTGGCGAGGTTGCGGCGTAGTAACGGCGTCGAGTTGGTCCGAGACTCCCCTTGCGCGACGGTCACGATTCAGGAAATAGGGAAAGAATCTGCGATGCAACTTCTTTCGCTGAGCAACTCGGGTGTAGGTACCTCGGTGGAGCCGAAAGGGAACATGGCTTTTGGGCTTGAGCACTCTGAATGCACGCGGATTTTCATTCTGACATCTGTCAGGTGCCCTCGTTACGCTATGAAGTTTTTGTCGTTCATCCCCTAGTGTTTCACGCACTCCATCGCGCGAAAGTTTTCCGAGTCGTATGACGTATAGAGTCTATATTCTTTTCTTACGACGAACGCTTCACTTCCGCCTCAAACAGTAGTCTAGCAACATTGTGACGACTCCGATTCGTGTTCCCACAATTCCGGTTCTCCTCAGCGCAATCTATTGGAGTACTACTGGCAGCGACGTTGCGTCCGACACGGAGGGGATCCTGACAGATTAGCTGTTTTGTATTAAGCATTAAAGTGAGTAGCAGTTGCTGTAAGGCCAGATTGGTGATGGTTCTTATTGTGCGCCGCATCTTCCTCGTGCATATCCGATCATCAACGAATGTGAATAATTTCAATATACTTAGGTCTTTGTAGGACCTAAGAATCGTGAAAAAGGTATGTTCACTGTGTTTACCTCATCTCCTTGCCGATCTCTCACGAGTCTCAGTTGCTGTCACCCTCTTAGTCGCCATTCTTCCCAGTGCCATCCCTCTCCTGCCCTCATCTCACCCTCAACCGTTTTCTCTCTTTGAAAGCCAAGCAGGCCGAGGTGGAGCGTGTGAAACAGCCTATTGCACGAGCTGCGGAGCGGACGTCATGGAAGGTAGGCACGTTGGGGCATTGCAAGCTACTCAACTTAATCACGCAGTCGGTTTTCGAGAAACCTACAAGAATGCCTCGTTTAACAGATTCTGAACAGCCAGCCTCGTTTCATATAGGGCTCGTGCTGGCCCCGGCAGACAGGCTTGAGCCTGGAACGTCACCCACCCGCGCTTGTGCATTCTCTTCCCCCCACCTCCATCTGCTGCAGTTAATTCCTTGTCAGGAACGTTTCAATGGCAAATTGACGGGTTTTCTGAGTTGGCAGAGGCGTCGGTCTATTCAAACACCTTTCTGGTCGGAGGCTACTGTTGGTGTGTGCTTGTGTTGGCCGCATTTCAGGTTGTTTATAGAAGGATACAGCCTGGAATGAGGTGCTCACTCCTTGGCACAACCTCTCAAACCTCTCAGTGTTTCCTTGCCTTTGCATTCCTCCTCCTCATGCAAGTCCTATTGTTTGTTTCCTCGCATGGAAATTCGTTTAAAGATCGTCCCTTGTTCCCAACTTGTGTGTGGAATTCTTGTTTCCACCTGCTATCTCTTTCCCTTTTCCGTTCATCTTACCCATTCTTCCTCTCTTCATTCAACTTATCAAGCTTGAATTTCAGATTTCCGCCTCTTTTCTTCTCAAAGCGGTTGTTGAGATTGTGATCTCCCTGCCCCCTGCACTTTCAGTTAGCCCACGAGTTCGTAAATCCCCGTTCCTGCCCCCGGCACCTTTTTATTTAAGGACATCAAAAAAATGTTTATACATGTTTCTTTTTTATAACTACCCTCCATCCTCTGTATAGGCAACTGTTGGTGTACCCGGAGGGTGGCGAGAAGTCAGAGGACTTGTCGTTGTATCTTGTCGTGGCAAACGCTGCGACGGTGCCGCCCGGTTGGACCAAGCGCATGGACTTTGTGTTGACTGTGGTCAACCAGTTTGACCGGACGAAGTCAGTGAAGAATGGTATGAGTGAAAATGAGCAATGCAAGGAGAATCAACACAACGCCCAACCACTCTTGTTTTAGACCTAAGAATGAACCCGCTCGACCAGAGTCGTGTCGGGCCATTGAAGGTTCGACAAGGCTTAACCCAATAAGTCGAACCCTACAACCTAAAGTTTTTGTTGTGAACTACAAACAGTTCAAGAAACGGTGCTAAGCTATGTCCCTCAGTCCCTCAGCATCGACTTATATGAAAGCTTAACATAAGTTGATTTGGTGTTCCATGTTCGAGTGAAAAGTAGATTGGATTGCCATACGGGTGTGAACTTAGGAGGTCTATCAGGATGATTTGAGGTGCCTAGAAAATCATCTAACTTCGCGTGGATTTTGTCCGGACAATCTTTTACAAGCCTCCTCCCTCTGCCTATCTTCTCAATTTGCTTGATTCTCAGAAACGAGCAACCTGCTGTTCAGTCCACGCGCGCCCAACTGGGGCTGGTCTTCCATGATGCCACTCAAGGACCTCAACGACCTCTCTAAAGGCTTCCTTGTTAACGACACAGTGATTTTAGAGGCGGATGTGAAAGTGTGCAATAAATCGAAGATTCAGACTGGATACGTGGGGCTTAATAACCAAGGGGGGCTGTGCTGTATGGCCCCGTTGATTCAGATGCTGTTCCACATCCCCTTATTCAGGAAAGCAATTTATCGGTTTTCTGCTTCTGAGAGCGACCTTCATGATGGCAGCATTCTCTTAGCGCTTCGAAGCATATTCTACAGGCTCCAGTTCACCGATACTAGCGTTTCGACCAAGAACTTAACTAAGAGGGTTGAGTGGGAGGATGGAGACTTGTCAAAGAAGCATGACTCGAGTGAGGTGTACCGGATGTTGCGTATGAAACTGGAGGGGGAGATGAAGGACTCATCTGTGGATGGCACGATGGAGAAGCTGTTTGGTGGGCATCTCATGAACCACATTGAGTGCATCAATGTAGACCACAAGTCTGCCTAGAAGGAAGCATTTGATGGTGAGTGGTGGTGAGCATGAGCGTTATTCTTTGTGCTTTTGAAAAATGATCGCTACAACTCCTTGCTTTAGGTTGCGTCCTATCCTATGTCCCTATAATTATGATCTCTGGCCGTGTTGATCCCGTGCAGGGTTCCAGCTGGATGTGAAAGGGTGCAAGGACGTGTATGCAAGCTTGGACAAATATGTGGAGGTGCAGAAGCTTGATGGCAACACCAAGTTCTATGTGGAACAGCATGGGGCGCAGGTGAGTGATTGTTGCATAATGAGGGACAGCACTATGATAGGCGGTCATGAATTTGTGGAAGTATGCGGATAGGCTTTACGAATTTTATCTACAGGGGTCGTGCAGCCGGCAATGCAGGAACTGTGATGTGAGAGAGCTGTGCTTATGCTGTTCGGAAGCAGTACGGGCTGAGTTGAAATGGTCAGAATGTAATCTATTCTCTTTTGAAATGGTCAAGTAATGTGTTTGTGGGCCGCTTGTGAGCTCAAATTCAATGATGTGTTACACATCTCCAATTTTCATCCATTATGAGAAACTCCAAATATAAGTTACGAGGGATGTAGTTTCGATTACCCTACCCCCTCCTCGGTTGTGTTGCCTCTTGGTCGTCCACACGTCTTCTCTCTTGTTGCCTGTGTTTCGCCCAAGTTGCTTCCTCGACTCACAAATCACAATGATAAGGCACCACAACACCTCCCTTCTCCATATCTTCCTTCTTGTTCTTCCCCTCTCCTGTGTTGCTGTGTTCGTATGCTCCGTCTACAATGGCAGGATGCCAAGAAAGGTGTGCTTTTTGTGGACCTCCCACTGGTGCTACAGCTACATTTGAAGCGCGTCGAATACAATCCAGTGGACGGGAAAGCAGCGAAGGTACTAAGTCATGACACATCATGGGGCGAAGGAATGTGTTGTACAACTTTTACATGCCAAACTACTGCTCTCTGGCTCTAGAGAGTTTTCTGCCAGCTGTATCCCTATTCGGTCGTCAAGCAAGTTTACTATCTTTATGTTTTTTCGCTTCTTTGCGTTGCTGGCTAGCTAGAGCGTTCGCAGATTTCTCTCTGGATGTCTGCAGACTGTTCATAGTTTCTACCCCATGTCCACCCTCCCCTCTTGCGTCCCCTTAAGTCCATCCCCTCGTCGTTCGCAGATTTCATATTGAGCTGGATCAGTGGACATTTTGCCTCGTTTGTTCCATTCTCTCTTTTGCCTGGTTCATATTCACCCCCCCCGCACTCCCACCTGCATGCCCACCTGCACGTGCACTCCAGGTCAATGACCGATGCGAGTTTCCTCTTGAGCTAAACTTGGATAAGGACAATGGCAAGTATCTCACTACAGATATGGACAGGACTGGTTGCAATCGTTACCTGTTGCACAGGTGTGACAAGGGAAGGCTTTATTTTCGGTTGAAACTATGTAGGTTTCCACGGCATGAGCCTCGACCTGAGTCGACAACTTGGTCAATATAGGAGGCAGGCACACTTACACAGACCCAACCCAAGCACGTACTATTATTATTCACCAATGCTTCACTGAAGTCCTACCTTTTGTACCTTAGCCCAGGTTTAGGCAAGTGTTGGTGTACGGATTTTTTTTTCTTCTTTTTCATCTCTCTTCTTTCTTTCTTTCTTTCTTTCTTTCTAACTGGAATCTTTTATGTGGTGAGGTTCTCTTAAACGAAACATCAGTTACCCGCTTCCGTTCTCAAATGGAACATTTGAAGCACCTAACCATAAATGTCCACTGTAGCTTAACTGGCTTCACGTGTGAGTCATCTTTACTATGCCCATGATGCTGCATCCCTCCCACCCTTTTTCTTGCACGCAGTGTTCTGGTTCACACCGATGGTGTTGATAGCAGCCATTGCTACGCCCTGATTCGCCCAAACCTCGGATCCCAATGGTATACTACCCGTGCTTCCTTGTTTTGTTTGCCTCTTCCCTATTCATCGAACCACATTTCCGTCTGGCTAACGTTCTTGTATTCATGCTCATTCCCCATTTCCTTTTAAGGCGGTCTTGCAGAATGGGAGGTTTGGAATTTGTAGTACGCAACGCACATGGATTCTTCACATTTGTGCACGATTTCCTCCTAATTGTTGTCCATCAACCCTTGTCATTCTCACTGCCATGTATGCATTGCCTACTAGTGCTGATCGTGCCTGTTATCTGTGCGTACCGCCTAACCCTGGTGAAGCTGCTGCTCTAGGTGCTAGTGCGTCTCCTGCTCTAGGTGCTGGTGAGGCTGCTGCTCTCGGTGCTAGTACGTCTACTGCTCTAGGTACTGGTGAGGCCGTGGCTTCAGGTGCTGGTGAGTCTGCTCTCTCTGGTACTGCGCCAACTCCGGACTCGCACACCTTCACCCTTGACTCAGGAGCTTCTCGCTCCTTCTTTCGCGACTGCACCACACTCACGCCGCTTAGTCGGCCAGTTCCAGTCTCCCTGGCGGACCCCTCCGGGGGTCCAGTCCTTGCCCACTACTCCACGGTTCTGCCGTGTCCGGCCGTCCCGTCCGGCTCGCTGTCAGGTCTTTACCTCCCCTCGTTCTCTACGAACTTGGTGAGTGGAGCTGACCTCCAGGATCGGGAGGTTGACCAGTTCACTCCTGCGAGTCAGCGAGTGACTCACTGTACGTGTGCTAGGACGGGCCGGCACTTGGCCACGTTCACCCGTGCACCTGGCTCGAGTCTGTACACACTGACCACTGAGTCCCCTCAGGTAGCTGCGTCTGCGTCTACGTCTGGTCAGCAGGCGGCCCCCTGCGAGTGTCGCGCTTTGTCGCACGACACTCTCCTGTGGCACCACCGTCTTGGTCACCCCTCCTTGCCTCGCCTGCGTAGCATGCACTCTCGCTCCCTGGTCTCTGGTCTTCCCAGGTCTCTGCCTACCCTCCCTCCCTCGCCTGCGCCGCCCTGCATTCCTTGCGTCGAGGGGCGGCAGCGCGCCGCTCCTCACTCCTCCTCGTTTCCTCCCACAGAGGCTCCCCTGCAGACGCTCCACCTGGACGTGTGGGGCCCAGCCCGCGTCCAGGGACAGGGCCGCGAGCGGTACTTCCTGCTGGTCGTCGACGACTACACGCGTTACACCACGGTCTTCCCCTTGCAGAGCAAGGGGGACGTCCCTGATGTTTTGATCCCTTGGATCCGCGCTGTTCGTCTCCAGCTCCGCGAGCGGTTCCGGCGGGATTTTCCTGTCCTGCGTCTGCACTCTGACAGAGGTGGTGAGTTCTCCTCTGACCTCTTGGCAGCCTACTGTGCGGAGCACGGCATCACCCAGTCGTTCACGCTTCCGGCCTCTCCACAGCAGAATGGGGTTGCTGAGCGTCGCATTGGCTTAGTCATGGAGGTCGCTCGTACCTCCATGATCCATGCGGCTGCCCCCCATTTCCTGTGGCCGTTTGCGGTCCGGTACGCCGCGCATCAGCTCAACCTCTGGCCCCGTGTCTCCTTGCCGGAGACCTCGCCCACACTGCTGTGGACGGGGAAGGTTGGTGATGCGTCGCGTTTCCGGGTCTGGGGTGCTCGTGCCTTTGTCCGCGATACCACCGCGGACAAGCTCTCCGCCCGCGCTGTTCCCTGTGTCTTCCTTGGCTTTGTCCCTGACGCGCCTGGTTGGCAGTTTTACCATCCCACCTCGCGCCGTGTCTTTGCGTCTCAGGACGTCACGTTCGACGAGTCGGTTCCCTTTTACCGTCTCTTCCCCTACCGCACTACCCCGCTCCCCCCCCCGCCGCTCTTCCTCGCTCCAGGTGCTCCCCAGGTAGACCCCCTCCCCACTCCTGGTCCTGCTCCTTCAGGTGTTTCTCAGGTAGACCCTCCTCCCTTGACTGCGCCGGTTGAGGTCACTGGTGACTCAGGTCCTACTGAGGGTGGTCCTTCTCGGGGTGCTACTTCTAGGGGTGCTGAGCCTGGGGGTGCGGAGCCTGGGGGTGCTGAGCCTGGGGGTGCTGAGCCTGAGGGTGCGGAGCTTGAGGGTGTGGAGCCTGGTGGTGCTGAGCCTGAGTGTGAGGGGTCTGGGGGTGCTGAGCTTGGCGGTACTGACGCTGGAGGTTCTGGAGCTACTGAGGGTGCTGGCGCTGGAGGTTCTGGAGCCGCTGGAGGTACAGGTGCTGAGGGTACTGACACCGGAGGTTCTGGAGCCGTTGGGGGTGCGGGCGCTGAGGGTTCTGAGTCTGCTGTTGCGCGGTCTCCTTGGAGTAGCCGCCTTCGTCCACGTGTGCCTCTTACCCCACAGCAGTTGCGGGACTGGTACGGTCGCCGTCAGCGTCGCGCTGCTGGAGCTAGGAGTGGTGCTGGACCTTTGTCTACTGGAGGTGCTGGAGTCGCTGGTTCTGGAGGTGCTCGTACTGGAGACACTGAGGCTGGAGACCCTGGGACTGGAGGTGCTGGCTCTGGGGGTGCTGCTACTGGAGACACTGAGGCTGGAGACCCTGGGACTGGAGGTGCTGGTTCTGGGGGTGCTGCTGCTGGAGACACAGAGGGTGGAGACCCTGGGACTGGAGGTGCTGGTTCTGGGGGTGCTGCTGCTGGAGACGTGGAGGCTGGAGACCCTGGGACTGGAGGTGCTGGTTCTGGGGGTGCCGCTGCTGGAGACACAGAGGTTGGAGACCCTGGGGCTGGAGGTGTCGGCTCTGGGGTTGGAGCTTCTGGAGCTGCTGGAGGTACTGGAGCTGCTGGAGGCACTGGAGCTGCTGGAGCTGCCGCTCCTGGTGCAGCTGCGCCGACACGACGGTTCTTCGCTCCGCCGTCTCCGTCGTCTCTGCCGCCGTCTGACTCTGTTCTTCGTCAGGTTCTTACTCTCCCGTCGTCTACTGGTCTTCCGTTACAGCCTGGCTCACCGTTGCCTGCTCCTTCTCCTTACACTGTGCAGACTGGTAGTCCTGCTGAGCGTCGTGAGCCTGCGTCGCGTCCTGTTTCGCCTGTTCGTCCTAGTCGTACCGGTCGTCGTGTTCCTCGTTCGCGTCAGCCGGCTGTCCCCAGCGCACACCTCGTAGTCCGTCGTCCTTCCTCTGCTCCGCAGCCTGTTCCTCTGCCGTCTCCTCCTGCGTCCTCTTTGCCTGACGTTCCGGACCCTGCGTCTGACCGGTTTCGTGCTGAGCACCCTACTGTCACGCGTCTACTAGCCACAGTTGTCACTGACCCGTCGTTTGAGTCTGCTGCTGCGTCTGCTCTTGTCGCTGAGCTTGTTGACTTTGCTGCTGCCTGTCGTCTAGACTTCACTGCCAGTCTTGTTACTGAGTCTGAGTCTGTCTGTCCTCCGTCCGTCGGGGGTGAGTGTGCTCTTGACACGGACGTCCTTGAGGACAGGCAGGAGGAGTTCCAGTGTCTTGCTGCTGCTTTACCTCATCTTGTGTCCTCGCTACTTGCCCCTGAGGGAGACCCGGATGCACCAGACATCCCGACTCCGCGCTCTTACGCAGAGGCGATAGAGGGTCCCTACTCCTCTCAGTGGCAGGCAGCCATGGACGCAGAGATGGCTTCCTGGAAGTCCACAGACACCTACGTCGACGAGGTTCCCCCACCTAAGGCGAACATCGTCAGTGGCATGTGGATTTTCAGGGTGAAGCGGCCGCCGGGTTCTCCGCCTGTCTTCAAGGCGCGTTACGTGGCTCGAGGCTTCAGTCAGCGAGAGGGAGTTGACTTCTTCCAGACCTTCTCCCCCACCCCGAAGATGACCACTCTTCGGGTGCTGCTGCATGTTGCTGCTCACCGTGACTACGAGCTTCACTCTCTTGACTTCAGCACAGCTTTCTTACAGGGCAGCCTGCACGAGGAGATCTGGCTGCGCCGCCCCCCGGGCTTCACTGGGTCGTTCCCTCCTGGCACCCAGTGGAGCCTCCGGCGGCCGGTCTACGGTCTCCACCAGGCGCCACGTGAGTGGCACGACACACTGAGGACTACGCTTGCGGCTCTTGGGTTTGCGCCTTCTACTGCTGACCCGTCGCTGTTTCTGCGCACCGACACTTCACTGCCGCCGTTCTATATCCTCGTGTACGTCGACGACTTGGTTTTTGCCACTGCTGACACTGAGGCTCTCGCCCACGTGAAGTCGGAGCTGCAGAAGAGACACACGTGCACAGACTTGGGTGAGCTGCGCAGCTACCTTGGCTTGCAGATCACCCGGGACAGAGCACGCCGCACCATCACCTTGACTCAGTCACACATGGTGCAGCAGGTCCTTCAGCGCTTCGGCTTCACCTGGTCTTCAGCACAGGCCACTCCTCTGGCTACAGGTCACACGCTCTCAGCTCCACCTTCGGACGAGTCCGTAGAGCCGAGTGGTCCTTACCCAGAGCTAGTCGGCTGCCTCATGTACCTGATGACTTGCACTCGACCTGACCTCGCGTACCCTCTTGGTCTTCTGGCTCGCTACGTGGCTCCTGGTCGGCACCGACCTGAGCACATGGCTGCTGCTAAGAGGGTACTGCGCTACTTGTGCAGCACATCAGGCATGGGGCTAGTGCTTGGAGGGACGAGCCCAGTTGTCCTCACTGGACACTCAGACGCTTCTTGGGTTGACGACCAGGCTACTCAGCGGTCGTCACAGGGTTACACCTTCAGCCTTGGCTCTGGTTCAGTTTCGTGGCGTTCTACACGTTCGTCTTCAGTTCTCAGCTCCAGTTGTGAGGCTGAGATCTACGCCACAGCCATGGCTGCACAGGAGTTACGCTGGCTCACCTACCTGCTGACTGACTTGGGAGAGCGGCCTCGTTCTTCTCCAGTGCTGTACGTCGACAACAAGGCCGCCATTGCCTTGTGTGAGGAGCACAGACTGGAGCACAGAACGAAGCACATTGCTCTGCATTACTTCCTGGCTCGAGAGTTGCAGCAGCGAGGCCAGCTTCGTCTTCGCCACGTGGCCACTCGGGCCAACACTGCTGATATATTCACCAAGGCACTTCCGTCTGGTGATCATCAGCGCTTTTGTACTCTGTTGGGCCTTGTGCCTACGTTTCCACACTTGCTGTAGTCTCTGCTTGTACTGTGATCTATATATATACCTGCATGCTGGCTCTTGCTAGGTAGCCATCACTGTACTGTTGTTGCTGCATATATATCTCTGCATGTGAACTGGCCCTGTGGCCTTTTGCTTGTGCTCGGAATGCGTGGTGACGTTGTGATCCACCCTGAGCTTGTTTTGCTTCTCTTGACTGGTCGTGTGACCCCTTGTTCTCCCCCACTTTGCCTATGGGGGTGTGTCAAACTATATGTGCTGCATATTGTTTAGGCTGTAGTGGGGTAGCCCATATGGGGTACAACCCAATTAGGGTTAGTTCACCCATTCCTGCCGCTAGATTCTGACAACGCAAAGTTTTTTGTTGTACCCTCGACGTTTGCATGAAACAACAAGAGGGTCTTCCCAAACCACTCCTCGTCTCCGTCTTGTCCCTCACCCTTTACCGCCACATCAGAGAACCATTGCCGGCCGTGGTGTATGGGCAAGGCGCGGATGCGGTGAGGCAAACGGCTATATTGCGCATCAACTGCGGCAGGCATGGCGAGTTCCCAGTGAACCTGCATAGGTACCAACAAACAAGGGAGTTAGTTTGTTGCCTTGGAACAAGCTGTAGAACAGCATCTGCATGACACCACACGTACATGTACTTCTTTAATATCCTTCCCCTTGCCATCACAGCCGGGTGCCCTGTCCAATGCCGCGCGCAGGTGCTTTAAGTCCTCGCCGATTATGGCCTGCAATGGGCCATCACGCTTCAAGTCTGGTACACGAGGGTATGGGGCTGCACCACGCGTTTCAGGCACGTGCAATGTCCAAGTCCTTTTGGACAGAACCCGCTCGCCTGTCCGTTGGGCATGCACACACGGCGACAGAGGGCGACCTCGTAATGCCTTTGAAAAAAGGGTTGTAATCTGGTGCGAGAAGACCTAGTAGCAACCGTAACGTACCTTCACCATCGCTGTGTCATACCTCTTCTTCTTCTCGAGCTGTGGAGCGATGTACTGTAGACGAAGCCGCGCCTCTTCGCTGCCCACAATCTGGCTATTGACCGACCTTTTGTTGGACGCCCTGTAAGGGTTTTTAATGTATTATATGTGCAGGTTCTCGTATAATTGTGCAGAGTAGTGCTCGGGCAACCCCGACCTACGAATGGAGTCTATGTAGCGACTAATGAGGTGCATTTTGATGAAGTTCCAATCCGATGTGTGCGGGAAGGCGGTCTTGAGGTTGTGTAACATCCTGCATCAAGGTAAACAACGTAGCCATTAGGTAAGCATAAATCATAAAAAATCCAGGGCAAGATGCACCATTCAACTGACCTGTGCGCCTTCGTCTTGAATTCGATGAGGGTGGTCTCGGTGTGCTCTGATGCCCGCGCGCACTCGAGATACCACTCAATGTACGAGACGAGTGCGTCCATCTGCTCTTGCGTGATAAATCCCTTCACAATGAAGGGAAGTATCTGCATAACAGAACGATGCTCGTAGGCCTGATAGTTTGCCCCCTTTTCGAAGTACTGGCCCGATGGCAACCGCATGTCCCCCCCCCTAATGTTCTTCTTGTAGTACCTAAGAATTCTGTCTAGTTTTTTCCTATCAGCCAACAGCTTCACATGCACACGAATGAAGTCAACAATGTGCTCAAAAATGCCCAAATCCGCTTGGTGCATCACGTCGGGCAGCACCGCAAGGTACGGGTTCAGAATGGTGTCGGACTCCCACCTCCAACCGCTCAAGAAGCTCTGCATAAGTCAAAACCAGCAAAGTGGTGTTAGTAACATGAGATAATATGCGTAATGAGTAGCACCAATACAGAATAACCGAAACAGCGTGTTACCTGCACTGGGTGTGTGGACAATGTTGCGTCCGCATCGGGCGCGACCCGCCCTTCCAAAATGTCGCGCACAATGGTATCTTGCTCATACGGTGTCCGAGCATCGATACGATCCTGCAACACTGCCAAATGGGTCTTATCGACCTTGCATATCGAACAAGGGAACATGGTTCCCAACGACTTCGTGCAAGTGATCTTGCACGACTCCGGATAGTCCGACACATAGGCATACAAGTAGGGCCACACGTTGATGCTCTCGCCTGCAGCGTTCTTCATTGCAATGCCGGTGTAGGAAGCCGTCTTGAGCGATTGCAACACTAGTCTCATGATGTAGTTATGGACTTGCATTTTGTCCTGCACGTTGTACTCGGCAGGAAACTCAGGGAGAAGTGCTAGAAGCACGTGCCCATAAAGTTGCCACCTGTCATCCTTATCAATGTTTCCCAGTGTGAGATACACGGGATGCCCTTTCGCCTTCCCTCTATGATCCATATGCGTTTCATCGCTTGCAAGGATCAAAGCAGCCACTACTCCATTCGGGTCCTCTTCGCGCACCAACGTTTGCAACCTCTCCCACCATAGGCCTGTTTCTGGGGTGCTAAACACCCGTACGTTTCCAGCGTATTGTGGATCTGCATGAAACACCTAGCGGCCAGCTTAGGGTGCTTCAGAAGATCTTGAAGAGCAACCAAAGGATCACAGTGCCAGAACTCCAGCCATGCTTTGTTTCGCGACCGGATGGTCTTCCGTCGCCACCCACGGTGGCCATCAGTCGCCTTGGACTCTGCGTACGCTTGAACGTCGCGGTAGGTCTTCCAATCATGAATTTCCTGTATGGTCTTGCGCAGAATTTCCAGCAACGCGTCGATGTGTTTGATCGAGAGCCGGTTGGAGAGGATCCAATGCGCAAGAGCATCCTTGAGGTTGAACGTCGGTGCCTCTTCTTCTGCCGGTAATGCTGCACCTGCTTGAGTTGCTGCCCCCCCACTATCAAAAGCACACGAGGCACCAGCACTACTACTCGCATCGTCATCTTGTTCAAATGGAAGAACACTATCTACTGAGTCAGTGGACAATGTTGTGTCACTACTATGGGGTGCGGCATCATCACATGGCATATCATGTGCAGCAATACAAACATCAGCATCAACACTCGGTTCTACAGAGGAATGCGCCGGCTCCAGGCGCAGTATTGCACGCGGTATGGGGTTAGGAGGGATGAAGCACGATCTTGCACGTTTTGGGGCCTGGAGCTGGTCGCTGCCACTAACGAGGTTGGCAGGGCAGGCGTTGCTCTGCATGTGCCGACCCAGCCCTGATCGTGTCTCGAAGGAACAAAGGCGGCATCTTGGACAGAGGAAGGACATCTGCCAAGTAAGCCGTAAGACAGGGAGCAGGGGTTAAGAAGGGAAGGGTGAACACCAGCAAGAGATCATAGGGGAGAGAGAAGGCGCAAGGGAGTAGAGAAACAGAGGGGGGTGAGAGGGATGGAGCTCGGGATGGGGGCAACAGAGGGAAATGAGGGGGAAGCAGTAGGGAATACAAGAAACAGAGGGGCAGGGAAGAGAAAAGGAGCTCGGGATCACAGAAACAGAGGGGAATGAGGGGGTAGCAGTAGGGAATATCAGAAACAGAGGGGAATGAGGGTGTAGCAGTAGGGAATATCAGAAACAGAGAGGAATGAGGGTATATCAGTAGGGAATACTTGGAACAGAGGGGTATGAGGGGGTAGCAGTAGGGAATACAAGAAACAGAGGGGAATGAGGGTGTAGCAGTAGGGAATACTTGGAACAAAGGGGAATGAGGGGGTAGCAGTAGGGAATACTAGAAACAGAGGGGAATGAGGGTGTAGCAGTAGGGAGTACTTGCAACAGAGGGGAATGAGGGGGTAGCAGTAAGGAATACAAGAAACACAGGGGAATGAGGGTGTAGCAGTAGGGAATACAAGACACAGAGGGGAATGAGGGGGTTGCAATAGGGAATACGGGAAACAGAGGGGAATGAGAGGGTAGCAGTAGGGAATACAATAAACTGAGGGGAATGAGAGGGTAGCAGTAGGGAATACGAGATTGTACGCGCAGGGGAGGAGAGGAGCAGAGGGGAACGAGATTGTACGCGCACGTGAGGAGAGGAGCAGAGGAGAACGAGAGAGAATGAGCACGGGAGAAGGGAAACAGAGGGGAACGAGATTGTACGCGCAGGGGAGGAGAGGAGCAGGGGAGAACGAGATTGTACGCGCACGTGAGGAGAGGAGCAGAGGAGAACGAGAGAGAATGAGCACGGGAGAAGGGAAACAGAGGGGAACGAGATTGTACGCGCAGGGGAGGAGAGGAGCAGGGGAGAACGAGATTGTACGCGCACGTGAGGAGAGGAGCAGAGGAGAACGAGAGGGAATGGGCACGGGAGAAGGGAAACAGAGGGGAACGAGATTGTACGCGCAGGGGAGGAGATGAGCAGGGGAGAACGAGATTGTACGCGCACGTGAGGAGAGGAGCAGAGGAGAACGAGAGAGAATGAGCACGGGAGAAGGGAAACAGAGGGGAACGAGATTGTACGCGCAGGGGAGGAGAGGAGCAGGGGAGAACGAGATTGTACGCGCACGTGAGGAGAGGAGCAGAGGAGAACGAGAGAGAATGAGCACGGGAGAAGGGAAACAGAGGGGAACGAGATTGTACGCGCAGGGGAGGAGAGGAGCAGGGGAGAACGAGATTGTACGCGCACGTGAGGAGAGGAGCAGAGGAGAACGAGAGAGAATGAGCACGGGAGAAGGGAAACAGAGGGGAACGAGATTGTACGCGCACGGGAGGAGAGGAGCAGAGGAGAACGAGAGAGAATGAGCACGGGAGAAGGGAAACAGTGGGGAACGATATTGTACGCGCACGTGAGGAGAGGAGCAGAGTGTAAATGCGACAAGTTGCGAATGGGAGGAGAGGCGCAGAGTGGAATGAGAGTGTACGCACAACTTAGGACAGGTGATGCGGGGAATGTGCGAGTGAGGGACATGTGCGAGGCGCTGAAGCAAGGAAAGAACGATAGAGGGAAACGAGTGAGGCTCTGAGGCAAGGAAGGGACACGAGAAGGAGATGCAAGAGGCGCGGATGCAACGAACGGACGAGAGAGAGAAACTAGCTAGGCGCGGATGCAAGGAACGGACTAGAGAGAGAAACTAGCGATGTGCGGATGCAAGGAACGGACTAGAGAGAGAAACTAGCGATGTGCGGATGCAAGGAACGGACTAGAGAGAGAAACTTGCGATGTGCGGATGCAAGGAACGGACTAGAGAGAGAAACTAGCGATGTGCGGATGCAAGGAACGGACTAGAGAGAGAAACTAGCGATGTGCGGATGCAAGGAACGGACTAGAGAGGGAAAGTAGGGAGGCTCGGCAGGGAGGATCGGACCAGAGCGGGGTAGGAAAGGAGGCGCGGATGCAAGGAAGAGATCCGGCGCTGAATGGGATGAGGCGCACCAATGATAGCGTCAGGGGGAGACAATACGAGGGAACGAACGAGGCGCGCAAGGGAGGAAAGGACGGGGTGTGCACTAGAGGGAAGGACGCGGTGGGCACGGGGGGAAAGGACGGGTTGGGACGAGGCGAGCACGAGGGAAGCCGACGGGAGGGGGACTTGGACGAGGCCGGCACAGGATAAATCGGCTAGAAGGAAGGGACGTCGACGCGCACTGGACGCGGACAGGAGATAGAAGGCGACGTGGCGAGAAAGGGAGGTACGGACGAGATGAAAAAAACGCGGCGCGCATGAAACAAGTGGAGGGAAGGGAGAATGCGACGAACGCATTGCGTAAGGAGTAGCTGGGCACGGGAGGATTGGATACTTGCGAAAGGAGAGTCTGGAGACACACCTTAGTTTCTCAGCCCTGGGTCGAGCATCCCGCAAAGAAACGCGACACGGATCCACGCTAAACCGCTTCTCAACCGTGGCGAGGTGCAATTTCGTTGCCTGTATGGCGGATGGCCTAGTCCGCTGAGATCCGCGCCAAGAAATTATCGTCGCATAGGTGATCACGGCCACTAAGTAAGACACTAACGCGGTTTAAGTAGCACAAGGGTCTGACTACTTAGTCACTTGTGCGCACGAATGTCGAGAGAATTTGCTTGAGAGGGAGATTCGAGTGTGCGCTGGGACTCGAATTACTGTTTGGCAGCTCGAATCCCTGCTTGTTATGTTCAGTTACTTCAATCTGGTATAATGCGATTCCGTGCACACAAGCAGGCATCCATAAGGTTTCTTTGCGATTGGGTACGGTTTCGCGACAGAGGAACGATAAAATGTGGCTGGAACTACACCAGCCAATAAGAAACTTCTGTGTGCGTCAGGTTGCCAGTGGGTACAACCAATGGTCACGTGTGAAAAGCCCCATGTACTTTCAAAAATGGCGCGAGATGGATCGTCCTGACACCTGCACTCCCAGGACTGGTCACAAGTTAAACATCGATCCTGCCTAGAATCGGTGTTTAGGTGGTTACATGGTTACGTTTGTTTTCGTTAACGAACAGTTGTCCCTTCGGAGTCAGGCGATCGATGTGCCCTTGTCACACATCGATCGTGCAATTTCGTCCACATCGGGCAATTTTGCCCCATGTTTTTACGACCGTGTCACTTGAAACTTCAAAGCAGTCGTGACACACCGATATGGCGATCGGTTTGGCAGGTTCGGTGAATACCCCAATCCTTCCTCGGTATTCTACTTGTGACGCGTCCTCAATTACGGGAAAAACACCTCGATTTGGTGAACTCCCTAAAGCACTTAGTAACATACCTGTTTATAAGCCGCGACATTAACAACATTAAAGCTGCAGTTACCAATTACATATAGGAGAAACAGAATCCAAACCATATAGACAAATTACAAAATACAGACTAGTACCGATCGAAAATTCATGGAACAAATGTATATAAACGACGACAACTGATACAGCATCACACTCAACATTTACAATAAAGTTAACTGGAAAGAGGAATGAACATAAAACAAACCCTAACAAGAATCACCATTTTTACTGTAATTGTCACACAACTCCAACTCTATCGCGATGCACAGTTTCGGAAAAACGCACCCACCCTGTTTGTGATCGATTTCTGATTGTGAATGGCAAGAACCACCCTCTTTCTGCCACGTATGCAAATCTGCTCAACTTCCGAAGTTGAGCGCCGATTGTGTTGAGAGTTCCGAGGCCCTGTTTGGCAGGCGCATGAGCTCAGGCTTGGAAATGGGCTACACTTGCATGACCAATTGGGGTACTTCCGAGCTAAGCGGTTGATCGCTATCAAGCCCCGGGATAGGCGCATGAGCACCTAAGCAAAATGATTTTGAGTGACTGCCAAACGGTGTTTTTTGTCACAGGTTTGGGAATCGATATTGGTTCCTGGAACCATCCTCCCCTGGTAAACCGACGCACCACTCATGCGCGCATGGTGCGTCGTGGAGATGTAGCATCCATGCGCGCATGAGTGATGCGGGGCAGCATTGAAGATTGTATAGGTTGCTCATTGGTAGGCAGTCAGGGAAGACGGTTCAATATTGGTTATTGTAAATTTCTATCCCTGACCAGCGAGCAGGGCAGCCCAGACAAATTTCCTTCACCGAGCCTGCGACTGTTCCCCGCATGAAGTCACTGTACACGAAACCCAGACTTAACAATTTGGTACGTTACACCATCCCGAACCAGTACTCATTCCCGAGCCTAGTTGCTCATGCGCCTGCCAAACAGGGAGTTGGCTTCGTCAACCATAGCCCCGTCAACTGCAGGTCACTCCCGTAAACCACACCGCCCCGACGATCGACCATCATTCGCCGCCACGCTGCCACAACCAGCCGATTAGCTGTCGTGTACGACATGAGCTTCGACCTAGAAGCCCAACCCCCACCATGCGGGATCCGCCGGTAATACATTTTTCTGATGTCCTCGCTTCCCCCTCCCATCGCCCTCGCTTTCCCCTCCCTTCGCCCTCGCTTTCCCCTCCCGTCGCCCTCGCTTTCCCCTCCCTTCGCCCTCGCTTTCCCCTCCCACCGCCCTCTATTCCCCCTCCCATCGCCCTCGCTTCCCCCTCCCACCGCCCTCTATTCCCCCTCCCATCGCCCTCGCTTTCCCCCTCCCGTCGTCCCCGCTTCCCCCTCCCATCGCCCTGCTCATTCTCCCGTCGCCCTCTCTTCCCGCCTCACCCTGTTTCCCTGCTCATTCTCTTCCCCCTGGCTCACTCTGTCTGTCTCCCCTGCTCATTCTCTTCCCCTGCTCATTCTCTTTCCCTGCTCATTCTCTTTCCCTACTCATTCTCTTTCCCTGCTCATTCTCTTTCCCTGCTCATTCTCTTTCCCTGCTCGTTCTCTTCCCATGCTCATTCTCTTTCCCTGCTCATTCTCTTTCCTTACTCATTCTCTTTCCCTGCTCATTCTCTTTCCCTGCTCATTCTCTTTCCATGCTCATTCTCTTCCCCACCTCATTCTCTTTCCCTGCTCATTCTCTTTCCATGCTCATTCTCTTCCCCACCTCATTCTCTTTCCTTGCTCATTCTCTTTCCCTGCTCATTCTCTTTCCCTGCTCATTCTCTTCCCCTGCTCATTCTCTTCCCCACCTCATTCTCTTTCCCTGCTCATTCTCTTTCCTTGCTCATTCTCTTTCCCTTCTCATTCTCTTCCCCTGCTCATTCTCTTCCCCACCTCATTCTCTTTCCCTGCTCATTCTCTTTCCTTGCTCATTCTATTTCCCTGCTCATTCTCTTTCCTTGCTCATTCTATTTCCCTGCTCATTCTCTTTCCCTGCTCAGTCTCTTTCCCTGTTCATTCTCTTCCCCCGGCTCATTCTCTTCCCCGTCTCCCCCCCAATCCCCCACCCACTCTTCCTCCAGTTGCTGGTTCCTCTGCACCGATGCTCCCCTTTTCCCCACTCCCACCATCCCCTTTCCACCCCCGCCTCCCCCTTTACCTTCTCCTGCAGTCGCTGGTTCACTTGCGCCATCTGTGAGTGTGGGGCAGCAGCATCACCAACGCCTCTGCCTCGTTGCTCCTCGCCTTCCCCCACCTGCACTCCGCCAACCTCTCCCTCCGCCTCATCTCCTTCCTTCTCTCTCCTCACTTCTCTCAACCGCACTCTACCCCCCCTACACGCCCTCACAACCCGCCTTGCGAGCTGAAGTGGTGACAAGCAGCAGCAACACCCTCACACACCTTGATCTCTCCGGCTCACTCTGTCTCCCCTGCCCATTCTCTTTCCTCCTGCTCACTCTGTCTCCCCTGCCCATTCTCTTTCCTCCTGCTCACTCTGTCTCCCCTGCCCATTCTCTCCGCGCAGGGTACAGGACCCAGCACCATGGCCCAGGGTTTGTTGCATGCAGTGTAGCAGCCACGAGCGGCCCAAAAGCATGACATTTCCTAGCTGTCTTCTTCGTGTCCATAGTCAGTTGCCAAGTACTTCCTTTCTAGTGGTCATTGTGAAATGTTGATATTTGTGATAGGCTAGGCTGTAGTGAGGTGCACACGAGTGAGTACAATTCAGTTAGGGTTTCCGATCTGTATCTCACACATTCATAATCTCATCATTCCGTTTCACTTTCTGAAAGTCCTGTGCACGGCTGCTTCTGAGCAAAAAGTTTGTATTATAACAAATCATCCAACATCGACATACGGCATGGCCAACCAACCATTGTAGTACAGTCAACACATCACAACCAGATGCATAGCAGACCTGTACACAAAAACAAACCAGGAAATAAGCTCTGACATAGCTCAGCAGCAGGGAAAGGACATGTGGGAAAGGAGGAGAGGCGCTGAGAGGGATTGGATGAGAGAGGCAGAGAGGGAGGTGACCAACCCAGCTGCAACGTGGCACCTGGGGGCAGCAGGGACGGGTGTGAGAGAGGGACGGGTGTGAGAGAGGGACGGGTGTGAGAGAGGGACGGGTGTGAGAGAGGGACGGGTGTGAGAGAGGGACGGGTGTGAGAGAGGGACGGGTGTGAGAGAGGGACGGATGTGAGAGAGGGACGTGTGTGAGAGAGGGAGGGGTGTGAGAGAGGGAGGGTGTGAGAGAGGGGCGGGTGTGAGAGAGGGAGGGGGGCAGAGTGTGGCAGGGAATGGGGAGGCGCACGACTGAGGAGGTGCAAACGGGCAGTGTCAAGTCAATGATTCCTGAACGAGGTCGCCTAGTCCATCTCGTGCCCATTATCATTCTGCAGGCGCACACTCGCGCAAGGTGAGTGATGGTGCTGCTCATGCATTCTGTGAGTAGCGAGTCAGGCGCACAGTGGGAGAATCCCTGGAATGAAAAACGTGGGAAGGGACATAGAGGGACAGGGGCATAGAGGGAAGGGATGAGAGGACAAGGGAGGAAAGGTAGTAGACGACAAGGGAGGGCTGGGAGGAGAAGAGAGGAAGAGAAGGGAGCGAAGGGGCAGGATTTATCAAGAAATAACAAGGGGTGTGGGAGGGGGGAAGCGAGGAACACAAGGCGCGGAGGTAAGTGGGAGCAGCACGAGTAGATTCCTCTGTGCTGCTCCCACTTCCCAGTACGCAGAGCACAGGGGAAGTTGGGTAGCTGTGTGTACGGAAGTGGGAGCAGCACGGGTGAGAGTCGGGAAACAGCGCATACGGAAGGGGGAGTGAAGGGAGGGCGGCGAGTAGGAACAGATGGCAGAGGCGGAAAGGAGATTACGGGTAGAGAGGGACGGGGAGAGACGGGCGGAGAGTGAAGGTAGGAGACGGGCTGTGCTGTGAGGGAAGGGAGGCATAGGAGGGGAGAAGAAGGGAAGGTTAGGAAGGAGGACGTGTGGCTGAGAGGGTGGGGCGTGGAAGGGCGGGAAGCATGAGTTAGCGATGAGAAGAGATGGGTGTGAGTGAGAAGAAGGGGAAGGGAGGAGGGGAGAAAGGTGAGGGAGGGAAAGGGCGGGGATGGCGCAGAGGGGAACAGGCGGGGAGACCAAGGGAAGAGAATCTCGCACAGTGTGTGCAGACCTGAGCTGAGAGGGAAAGGAGGAGAGGGGCTGAGATGGTAAGGAGGAGAGGGGCTGAGATGGTAAGGAGGAGAGGGGCTGAGATGGTAAGGAGGAGAGGGCTGAGATGGTAAGGAGGAGAGGGGCTGAGATGGTAAGGAGGAGAGGGGCTGAGATGGTAAGGAGGAGCTAAGTTGGGCTCTTACGTTTTTGGAGGTCACGTAAACGTAAATTTCGCGTAAACGTAAACGAAAACGTAAATTACGCGTAAGTATGAGGCGGGCAGGAAAAAAAAGTTTAGAGCTTTTTTTTCCAGGATTATGTACGTGTACTAGATCCTTACTACTAATCCGACGTGTGTTTTTTCTAGAATAGCGACTTTACTACGTATGGAGGGCCTTTTGAGTCCGTGAAAGTTTCAGATTCAGCGTTGACCTGGTTAGTAGGAGAGAAACACGATAGATTACGAACGAGCTGCTAGGTTGACACCACCCTTGTCGAACTTGGATCTGAATCGAGAATTCAGATTCATGGTTTACCCAATGAATCCCCCTAATACTCTGGTCATTTCTTTTCCCTTGGGCAGCTCAAAAAAGTTTTGAGGTGACCGTAAACGTAAGGCCGAATCAGGGCCACCGTTCGTAAACGTAAAAATTGTCGTAATTTTACGAAAACGTAAGGAACCGTAAACGTAAGATCCAACTTAGAGGAGGAGAGGGGCTGAGATGGTAAGGAGGAGAGGGGCTGAGATGGTAAGGAGGAGAGGGGCTGAGATGGTAAGGAGGAGAGGGGCTGAGATGGTGAGGAGAGGGGCTGAGATGGTAGAGGGAGCAGCACAGGGGAAGTGGGGTAGCTGTGTGTACGGAAGTGGGAGCAGCACGGGTGAGAGTCGGGAGAAACAGCGCATACGGAAGGGGGATGGAAGGGAGGGCGGCAAGTAGGAACAGATGGCAGAGGCGGAAAGGAGATCATGGGGGGGAAAGGACAGGGAGAGATGGGCTGAGAGTGAAGACAGTAGACAGGCTGCACTGTGAGGGACGGAGGGGAAAACCCTTTCAGGGCCGAGTGAAACAGAGGGAAGGGAGGCACAGGTGGGGAGACGAAGGGCAGGTTAGGAAGGAGGACGTGTGGCTGAGAGGGTGAGGAGTGGAAGAGCGGGAAGCATGAGTACGTGATGAGAGGAGAGAGGGACGGGTGTGAGTGAGCGAAGTGTGTGAGAGGGTGAGAGAGCTAAAGGCCTTGTGTTTGAGAAGGAGTGGGGGAGAGGGGTGTCGGAGAGGGGTGGAAGTCCTCTCACACTTGCAGCAGGGGAGGAGATGAGCGCGGGGAAGTGGAGAGGGGCTGTTTTGGAGACGTCGCACAACAAGCTTCAGCTCTTACCATGCTGTCTGCTGGCATACAGCCCTCTCGCACCTGCGGCACATCGAGGGAATAGGGGGCACAGACGGGATTGGCAGGGATGGTACAGAGGGGAAAGTGTGGGGATGGTTTGAGACGATTCAACACTGGCTTGTACAGCACCAGCGGTATACAGGCACACTTACTCGCACACCTACAGGCTGTAGAGGGGGGAAGAAGTTGAAGGGCGGAGGGGAGAAAGGAGAGGGAGGGAAAGGGCGGGGATGGCGCAGAGGGGAAGAGGCGGGGAGGCCAAGGGGAGAGGATTGTGCACAGTGTGTGCAAACATTGTTGTTGTCGCATGGGTGGCGCGGGGATGGAGAAGAGAGAGGGGTTGAAATTTGATAAAGGTACAACTACTAGCAATCCCCGTCACCACACATTTCTTCTCGCTGTGAGTGAAACCCTACCATTTTCATCACCAACCAAGCTTCCCATTCCCTCCCCCCCCTTCTCCCCTCTCTCCACCTTCCTCCCCCCCCTCCCCACCCCCCCGGCATGCGATTATTCCCGCTCGCCCCTCCCGTCTTCCCCGGTGCACCCATAGGAATGCATCTGCCATCTCGCCACAAAAGGACCCAACTTCGTTCTCCATGACTTCCCCTCCATCCCTCCCTTCCCCCCCCCCCCCCCCTCTCCCCCCCCTTCCCCGCCCTTTTCCCACCCTCCCCTCTCCCAGCCCTCTCCCAGCCCACTACCAGCCGTCTCCCAGCCCTCTCGTTCCCCTCCCCCACATCTCCCTTTCCCCCCACCCATCGTCCGCACCTCTAGAAAGGCGTCGGCAGACACGTAGTGAGAGCACCCGGGGGGTGAGCGAACAATGGGAGCGACGAAGACGGGCACGTGACGAACAAGGACGGACAACAACGGGTAACGAGAGCGACAGGATTCAACCTTGCGGGACGGGATCTCTTGGGCGTGTGCGGAACGTGTGTGTCAAACGTGGGTCTGTGAGCGACGGAATCGATGAGGCGATTGCCCTGTGTGAGCGGTGGGTTTGAGCGAGTGACGTGAGGGAGTGCGCGGAGGGATCGAGTGAGCGATGCGATTGTGGGGCTGAGGCGAGCGGCGAGAGAAGGTCGAGAGGGACGGGAGGGAAGAGAAACATGAGAGGAAACGCGATGATCGCGAACCTGCGCGAGGAGTACGGGATGGATGGGAGTTGTCTTGTGGGGGACGGGAGAGGGGTAAAAGGAGGCGAATGGAGGGAAGGAAGGGGAGGATACGAGGGAGTCTGATCCGATGGCCGTGGGCGACGAGCACGATCTACGATTGCTATGCGCCTGGGATTTGCGAGGGCGACGGGAAGGCAAGGCGAGTGCGACGGTAAGGAATATCGTGGGCGAACGGAAGGAATCGTTTTTGCGAAGTGACGGGAAAGCGGCGAGCGACGGGATGGGAGAGCGTGAGCGACACTAGGAGTGAGCGTGGGCGACGGGCGCGGGAAGGGAGCGCCACCTAAAAGGCGACGGGAGGGGAGGCGAGCGCAAACAGCGGGGGGAAGTTTTGGGCTCAGGACTGGGAGGTTGTGGAGCGCCCAGAGCCACGCAGACAAACGGAAGTACATATATTGTGAGTGACAGGTGTGAGCGTGTTATTTGCTCGAATCCTAAACGGGGGAGGTGGGCGAGGTCTTAGGAAGCCGAGATATAGCCACCTCTGCCGAACATTATGTGGTTACAGCATGTGCACGTCAGGATTTGAAGTGACAGGAGTGAAGGGAGGGAGTAATGCCTCAGTTGACCGTAAGATGCTAAGTCGAGTGAATGGTGTTTGCCTTATCATTTACGGGATAAAGCTGATTCTGAGGGCTAAGGAGCCCACTACCATGGGGTCTAGAAAGGCAGTCCCCAGCTTTCAAGTTCCAGAAAGTATGAACAGTAGTTCTTGTACAGTATGAACAGTATGAACGGTGTTCCAAACCAGGTTACCTGGTTCCTTAGCGAATTCTAGTTCAAGAATCTTGAACTTGAAGAATAGCCATTCTAGACCCTGGCTTTAAAACTTCGGAGCATACCAACCTGAGTGCACACCACAACAGTTGAGACGTTTTCATTATATGCTAATGTACGGGTAGGTAAAATTTGGTCGCAAAAGGCAATTCGAATGAATTACAACTTGACATAATTGGAAAAGGCGACTTTCATTTCAAGGTACCCTTGGTTTTCAATGAAGCTGCCATACCATTCAAACATTCAGACGCACACGATGCAGAGCAACCCGGTAAGGAACCCAGGTTGAACTACCACCAGCAAGCCTACCTCCCATCACTCCACCCATCAAGCTGCCTCCTTGCTGCGCTTGCTTCCACCAACACCGCTCACCACCTTCCTCCCAGCCTCGCTAGCCGCCCTTCCAAACACCCTCCCTGCTGCACTGCAGCCAGCCACCACACCCTTGCTTTTCCCAATCTGTCCTGGTGTGGGCTAGGGTCTTTCAGCTTGCGCTTGGAGCTTGAAGACAAGAGCTAGGGAGGTAGGGAAGAAGCCAGAGGTAGGGGAGGAACGAGAGGGTGCGAACTAAGAAACAGCAAGGGAGAGGAGCAGGGAAACCACTGGTAGGGAGGGCGAAATATACAGTATGGTTGAGCCAGGGTGGGGAGAGGGGGGAGAGAAAGGGACGGAGGGTGGGGGCAGGGAAAGCACATGGCAGGACAGTGGGGGGGCGAGGGTAGACCGGAGGGTAGGGAAATGCAAAGGGCAGGGAGGGAAGAAGGTAAGCGTAGAGCGGGGAGAAAGTTGAGCGGGGAGAAACTTGAAGGGAACACATGTGATGATGACACAGTCGTGTCATAAGAATTCAATGTGATTCGTATGGGCATCACTGGTGCCAAAACGAGCGGCTTAACTTGAAAGCAAATACTTCTTGTTGCCATCTCTATCATTATCAGAAAAATGGAAAACGAGGAGGACTGTCACCATGGCCAGGGGAAAGAGAAGCTCTTATCCAAAAGAGGACTAGGAGGGACCCCCAAATGACTCTTGAGTCGACTCAAAAGTTACCAAGGGCTGGGACAGGCAAGCAAGCACGCGACATACCCACAAGAAAGAAGAGAGCATGCATGGTATGGCCATGTCATAAACAGCAACAATTGACTCGTGTGGTGCTTTGAGGTGTGAAGCTCTTCTCTGTTCAGCAGCCCAACTGCTCGTGCCGAACAAACAACCTGCTTTCTCACCTGATGGAGAAGTCCCTTCCCTGTGCTTGTCCCTTCTGGCAGGAAGCAGAGGACGTTAAGTGGCTGCTTTAGAAACACCTGGAGGGAGGGAATAAAAGCACAGAAGTAGACATGAAATTATGTTTGATTTGAGAACACCTGGGGAGGCAGCTGAGAGATGCACAGAGGAGTGAGGCAGGAAGGAGAGGCAGGCGATGGCGATATGTTTAGAGAGTCAAAGGGCAATCAGAATATATCGACCTACGTTTCCTGTGGGTGTGCAATCAACAGCACAGCAATCAGAATGCATATTCAGCAGTGCGTCTCGGTTATCCAGATACCTAACCAAGTTAGCCCTGCAAGTAAGGACCACAACCAAACTCTCACAAAGACACCTCCGCAAAGAGAACATACACGGTAACCTGTGAGTTGACTTACAAGCAGCCCCATTGGTAGTAAGCTGGACACACCTTGGCGACTAGGCGGTGATTGTGCTGCTGGTGAATGCACAGGAAATAGAATAGTCCTAGTGGTGGGGTAGAAGAGTTGGGGAGATGAGATGAAAAGATAAGTCAGGCAGAAGAGAGTGGCAAGGTGGTGGTGGAGGAAGAACGAGGATGGGGATTAAGTAAGTGTGCAGGTAGTGAATGCGCAGGGCAGGAAAGGGTCAAGACCTGGTGGAAGGGTCAAGACCTGGTGGAAGGGTCAAGACCTGGTGGAAGGGTCAAGACCTGGTGGAAGGGTCAAGACCTGGTGGAAGGGTCAAGACCTGGTGGAAGGGTCAAGACCTGGTGGAAGGGTCAAGACCTGGTGGAAGGGTCAAGACCTGGTGGAAGGGTCAAGACCTGGTGGAAGGGTCAAGACCTGGTGGAAGGGTCAAGACCTGGTGGAAGGGTCAAGACCTGGTGGAAGGGTCAAGACCTGGTGGAAGGGTCAAGACCCGGTGGAAGGGTCAAGACCCGGTGGAAGGGTCAAGACCCGGTGGAAGGGTCAAGACCTGGTGGAAGGGTCAAGACCTGGTGGAAGGGTCAAGACGTGGTGGAAGGGTCAAGACGTGGTGGAAGGGTCAAGACGTGGTGGAAGGGTCAAGACCTGGTGGAAGGGTCAAGACCTGGTGGAAGGGTCAAGACCTGGTGGAAGGGTCAAGACGTGGTGGAAGGGTCAAGACGTGGTGGAAGGGTCAAGACCTGGTGGAAGGGTCAAGACGTGGTGGAAGGGTCAAGACCTGGTGGAAGGGTCAAGACGTGGTGGAAGGGTCAAGACGTGGTGGAAGGGTCAAGACCTGGTGGAAGGGTCAAGACCTGGTGGAAGGGTCAAGACCTGGTGGAAGGGTCAAGACCTGGTGGAAGGGTCAAGACCTGGTGGAAGGGTCAAGACCTGGTGGAAGGGTCAAGACCTGGTGGAAGGGTCAAGACCTGGTGGAAGGGTCAAGACCTGGTGGAAGGGTCAAGACCTGGTGGAAGGGTCAAGACCTGGTGGAAGGGTCAAGACCTGGTGGAAGGGTCAAGACCTGGTGGAAGGGTCAAGACCTGGTGGAAGGGTCAAGACCTGGTGGAAGGGTCAAGACCTGGTGGAAGGGTCAAGACCTGGTGGAAGGGTCAAGACCTGGTGGAAGGGTCAAGACCTGGTGGAAGGGTCAAGACCTGGTGGAAGGGTCAAGACCTGGTGGAAGGGTCAAGACCTGGTGGAAGGGTCAAGACGTGGTGGAAGGGTCAAGACGTGGTGGAAGGGTCAAGACCTGGTGGAAGGGTCAAGACGTGGTGGAAGGGTCAAGACGTGGTGGAAGGGTCAAGACGTGGTGGAAGGGTCAAGACGTGGTGGAAGGGTCAAGACCTGGTGGAAGGGTCAAGACCTGGTGGAAGGGTCAAGACCTGGTGGAAGGGTCAAGACCTGGTGGAAGGGTCAAGACCTGGTGGAAGGGTCAAGACGTGGTGGAAGGGTCAAGACCTGGTGGAAGGGTCAAGACCTGGTGGAAGGGTCAAGACGTGGTGGAAGGGTCAAGACGTGGTGGAAGGGTCAAGACGTGGTGGAAGGGTCAAGACCTGGTGGAAGGGTCAAGACCTGGTGGAAGGGTCAAGACCTGGTGGAAGGGTCAAGACCTGGTGGAAGGGTCAAGACGTGGTGGAAGGGTCAAGACGTGGTGGAAGGGTCAAGACGTGGTGGAAGGGTCAAGACCTGGTGGAAGGGTCAAGACCTGGTGGAAGGGTCAAGACCTGGTGGAAGGGTCAAGACGTGGTGGAAGGGTCAAGACGTGGTGGAAGGGTCAAGACCTGGTGGAAGGGTCAAGACGTGGTGGAAGGGTCAAGACCTGGTGGAAGGGTCAAGACCTGGTGGAAGGGTCAAGACCTGGTGGAAGGGTCAAGACCTGGTGGAAGGGTCAAGACCTGGTGGAAGGGTCAAGACCTGGTGGAAGGGTCAAGACCTGGTGGAAGGGTCAAGACCTGGTGGAAGGGTCAAGACCTGGTGGAAGGGTCAAGACCTGGTGGAAGGGTCAAGACCTGGTGGAGGGGTCAAGACCTGGTGGAAGGGTCAAGACCTGGTGGAAGGGTCAAGACCTGGTGGAAGGGTCAAGACCTGGTGGAAGGGTCAAGACCTGGTGGAAGGGTCAAGACCTGGTGGAAGGGTCAAGACCTGGTGGAAGGGTCAAGACCTGGTGGAAGGGTCAAGACCTGGTGGAAGGGTCAAGACCTGGTGGAAGGGTCAAGACCTGGTGGAAGGGTCAAGACGTGGTGGAAGGGTCAAGACCTGGTGGAAGGGTCAAGACCTGGTGGAAGGGTCAAGACCTGGTGGAAGGGTCAAGACCTGGTGGAAGGGTCAAGACCTGGTGGAAGGGTCAAGACCTGGTGGAAGGGTCAAGACCTGGTGGAAGGGTCAAGACCTGGTGGAAGGGTCAAGACCTGGTGGAAGGGTCAAGACCTGGTGGAAGGGTCAAGACCTGGTGGAAGGGTCAAGACCTGGTGGAAGGGTCAAGACCTGGTGGAAGGGTCAAGACCTGGTGGAAGGGTCAAGACCTGGTGGAAGGGTCAAGACCTGGTGGAAGGGTCAAGACCTGGTGGAAGGGTCAAGACCTGGTGGAAGGGTCAAGACCTGGTGGAAGGGTCAAGACCTGGTGGAAGGGTCAAGACCTGGTGGAAGGGTCAAGACCTGGTGGAAGGGTCAAGACCTGGTGGAAGGGTCAAGACCTGGTGGAAGGGTCAAGACCTGGTGGAAGGGTCAAGACCTGGTGGAAGGGTCAAGACCTGGTGGAAGGGTCAAGACCTGGTGGAAGGGTCAAGACCTGGTGGAAGGGTCAAGACCTGGTGGAAGGGTCAAGACCTGGTGGAAGGGTCAAGACCTGGTGGAAGGGTCAAGACCTGGTGGAAGGGTCAAGAGCTGGTGGAAGGGTGGGGGCAGACAGAATGGGGAGAGAGGGAAGCAGCAGCAAAATGGGGGTGTGTGCAGGAAGGGCAGAGGTGGGAACCAGGTAAGGCCTGGTTGCTGTTGCCTGCCATGCACACGTACATGTGGTGGTTGTGCAGACAGCAGTGAAGGCCTGACGGAGGGTGGGAGGAGTTAGGGAAGCAACAGGGATTAAGGTTCATGTAAAAAGCAAGTGATGGGCGGAGGGTAGCAGGACAACCTGTTTGAACGAGAGTGGTGAAGAGCAGAAGAGAGCGGAGAATTACTGAGCCTATCTAATTTACGCATTATATTAGCCATTACACGACGTTTACATGTAAATATTCATGTACGGCCTAACTGGCTCTGGCAAGACTCACACGATGTTTGGAGATTTCGCGCAAGAACGATTTGAGAAGTTATCCCCAAATTCATCAAGCATATGTTCAGGCTTATCTGCAAAAATATTGAATCTAAGCTAGTTGGGCTCAGCGCGAAACCAACTCAAACCCAGATTTTGTAGGTAAGACTGAAGATATGCTTACCAAAGGTAGAAAATTTCAAGAAAAGTTCTTGTGTGCCATTTCCAAACATCGTGAAAGTCTCCCAGAGTCAATTTGATCATATGTGAACACATACACCTGAACACCATGTAAGGGCTAATATAGCGTATAAAAAGGATATGCTAGTTATCTAACTATGTTTTGCTTGTCAACTGCATTTTACATAATACGAAAAAGTTCATTTAAGTTGATCCAGGTGAGAATACCATGTCAAAGTTGTAATTTCCCTCAAACCCTAATTATCCGTGACAAGCGTAGTTTTAAATGATTTACTTGCTGAATAACTCATTTCTTTTCTCTCGTCATTTAGGGGAGGGGACCGACAGAAAATTATGATTGTCATAACACGCAGCTAGACATGAACTGATAGGGATGTGGAGTATGTGTGCTGTGAGCAGCGCACACAACACATATACATACCAGAAAACGCCACAAAAAGCAGTAACATACCATACGATGCTGTAACACATGGCACAAGTGGTAGCAATTAACATACCACAAAAGGCCAGGAGAGGCCATGATGGGTGCATGGTGAGCGAGTGAATAGAGCCTGCACACCCACCCTTGAATACACCAGCGACACGACCTGCACCTTGCATGTGGTGTGTGCAGAGGGGAGAGGGGAGGAGCGGCTGGAAGAAGAGGTGAGGGGGGAGGAGGGAAAGGGAGGTGAAGGGAGGGGATGCGATGGAATGGAAAGGGAGTGGGAGGGGAGAGAGGGGTGGGGAAGTGAGGGGAGTGGAACCAATGAATTGCCAACTAATGAGAGTGCACAAGTGAGAGTTATGAGTCAGGCAAAACTCACTGATGCTACTGGCTGCCATGCCAACCAATGAACGTGCAGTGCTAATGCGGTGGCACTGCTACAGCCAACCAATGAACGTGCATGTGAAGCAGCAACATAATGCCGTGCCGGTGCTTGTTTGCGACGGGAGCGGCACAAGTGAGAGAATGGACCCTCCATTGCAACATCCTCTTTCACCTTTAACAGCCTCACTTCATGCGGAGCATCATTGCAGCGTGCGCTACCACTAACCATACCTTCAAACTTCAATATTTTACATAAATATGACTATACTTCATTTCATACATTGCCATACCTAGTGGACTAGGTGACACCTAAAAGCACTGCATCCCAATCACAACCACTCACCGTGTGTCAGATCGACCAGCTTTATCACCCCCATGCCCTTTCCAACCGTCACCGCACTGCACTCCTCCCCACCACTCCCTTTGTTTGGGCCAGACAGCAGCAAGCGAGCGAAAGGGCATGGACCCCAAAGAAACGACTCTGAGGGGGTGCGGCTGCTGTCTTGTGTGTTTCCTGTGGTTCCGGAACAAAAGGTTTAACTTGAAAGCTAGTAGCTCCTGTTGCCATCCCTGTCATAATCAACAGCAAGGGAAGAAGGAGGAGGTCAAGGAGAACTGTCACATGCAGACGAAAGTGCGAGCACTCACAAACCGGAAAAGAATACACATCACATGGCCATGTCACAAGGGACAACAAATATTTTTTTTCTGAAGTGGAAACTGGGAAGTGGCCTTTGAAGCGGGAGCTCTTTGCTGTTGAGCGGCTTTCTCACCAGGTGCAGCAGTTCCTGTGGTTGTCCCTTCTAGCAGGAAGCGGAGGTAGATGAGTGGCTGCTTGAGTAACAGTTGGAGGGAGGGAATGGAAGAACAGAAGCAGACATGACTATTGTGTTGAATGAAAAACTACATTTCTTTTAGGAGGAAGCAGTAATCAACAATGTTCTAGTTCAAAAACCCGGGCAGTTGAGACAAGCACAGAGAACAGAGGCAGGAGGGAGAGGCATGCAATGCAACAGCAAGAAGAAGATTAACGTTTAAAGGGAGTGTAAGAGCCGGCGACGACTTATTAAGCAGTGGTTGTGCAATCAACAGAGCGACAATCAGAATGCATATTCAGCGATCTTGGTATCCAGAAATCTACCATCATTCAGCCCTGCAAGTAAGGACCCAACCACAACCATACTCTCACAAGGGCGCCTCTTCCGCCAAGAGTACGTGCAGGGTGACTTGTGAGGGGACTTACAAGCAGCCCCACCAGTAGTATGGTGGACGCACCTTGGCGAATCGTGGCGAGTGTGCAGGTGTGAATGCATAGGTAAAGGTCCAGACCTGGTGGTGGGGTAAGAGGTGGGGGGGGATGTGATAAAAAGTGGAGGAAGAATCGGGATGGGGAATACGCAAGTGAGCAGGTGGTAAATGCGCAGGCAACAGTCAAGACCTGGTGGTGGGGTAGGTGGGGGGAGGTGGGGGGCGTGATGAAAGATAGTCAGGCAGAAGAGAGTGGAGAGGTGGTGGAGGGAGAACGCGGATGGGGATTACGCAAGTGTGCAGGTGGGAAACGCGCAGGTAACGGTCAAGAGCTGGTGGAAGGGTGGGGCCGGACGGAATGTGGAGAGCGGGAGGCATTAGTGAAACAGGAGTGTGTGTGGGTCGAGCGGAGGTGGGAATCAGGTGAGGCATGATTGTTGTTGCCTGTCATGCACATGTACAGGTGGTGGTTAAAAATGTAGCTGCAGGGGCCTGGTGGAGGGTGGGAGGAGTGAGGGAGGCAACAGGGGTTTAAGGTCCAGGTAAAAAGCAAGTGATGGCAGAGCATCGAGCCCAAACCTGGTGGACTCACTGGCTTGGAGGTAGAGGGGCAGAGAGAAGGGAAGTGATATGCGGCAGGAAACCTAGAATAGAAATGTAGAGAGAGAGAAAAAAAGCAGATTACAATCTTCATGTACACCATCATTTCACCAGCAAGCCTACCATCCATCACTCCACCTATCAAGCTGCCTGCTTGCTGCTCTTGCTTCCTCCACTATGTGGTTGGAAACAGCAAGGGAGGGGAGCATGGAAGCAGCGATCGGAGGAGCCAAACGGACATTAGAGATGCTGAGGGGTAAGAAGGGGGAAAAAGGTGAGGAGAAATTGAGGCCAGTGAGAAGGGGCGGGGGAAGGGGGGCTGAGGTAGGGAAAGTGGGGGTAGATCCTACAGTAGGGACATGTTCCTGTGGTGCCGGAACAAACGGCTCAACTCAAAAGCAGACAGTCCATGTTGTTATATCTCTCATAATCACCAGCAAGGGAAATAAGGAGGGGCTCAAGGAAGACTGACACTTGAAGGACGGGGACCCGCAAGCGCGCATGCCCGCGACCCGGAAAAGAATACACATAAAGTGGCCATGTCACATGTGCTTTAAAGTGGGAAGCTCTTTGCTGATTAGCAGCCTAACAAGCAACCTGCTTTCTCACCCGATGCACCAATCCCTGTAATTTTCCCTTCTGGCAGGAAGCAGAGGAAGTTAAGTGGCGTTTTAGAAACACCTGTGAGAGGCAACGAAAGCACAGAAACAAATATGAGAACTAGAACCTATGTCTACTTCAAAAACACCTGGAGGGGCAGCTGAGACACGCACAGAGAAGAGAGGCAGCAAGGAGAGACAGGCAACAACAAGGAGATCTACATATAAGAGAGGGTCAAAGAGCCCACTTTGATCTATCGCAGTGGGTGTGCAATGAACAGCACGGCGATCCGAATGCATATTCAGCGGCATCTTGGTAACCAGATATCTACCATCATCCATCCCCTGCTAGTAAGGACCACAACCACAACTCAACTCTCACAAGGGCACCTCCACGAAGAGTACATACAGGGTGACTCGTGAGTTGACTCGAGCACCGGTGGTTAGCTGGACGCACCTTGGCGACTAGGAGGCGAGTGTGCAGATGGTGAATGCGCAGGTAACGGTCAAGACCTGGTGAAAGAGTGGGCACAGATGGAATGCGACAGAGGGAAGGAGCAACGAAATGGGGTGGTATGTGGGAAAAAAGGAGGTGGCAATTAGGTGAGGTCCTAATCGCTACTACTTGTCATGCATACATACAAGTTGTAGTTGCTCAAAGCATTTCTGGGAATTATTCCACGTTCCATCAAGCGGATCTTCAGACCTGAGTCAGTTTTCGATAGTGCCAAACTGGCTAAGATCCAAAGCTTTTGCAGATTAGTCTGAAGATATGCTTCATGAAACTAGGAATAACTCCGGGAAACATTCTTCTGAAAATACTTACCTTAAACCCGTCAATCGAACTTGTTACATAATCAGATATCTCTTCAAACATAACTGCCTGCATTGTTCCATGTGAAAAAACCTATCAAACTTGTAGTCTTCCAAATGCCCGAGTGACTAATCTCCTTTTCTTCCTCAATTAGGCGACGGACCTGGCATAACACCCAAATTGTTGTAACATGCAGCCAGACAGACAGAACTGCTAGGGATAGGGTGTATGAGTGCTGTGAGCAGTACACACAGCGCACATACATACCAGAGACGCCACAAAAGGTACTGACGTACCACAAGATGCCGTAACACACACGAGCGGTAGGGCTTGACATGCCGCAAGAGGTCACGAGGGAATGGAGCGAATGGAGCGTGCACATTCGGCCTAAACCGTGCATGTGGTGTATGCAGTGGGGAGAAAAATGGAGGAGGGATGAGGGGAGGAGGGGAGTGGAGAAGATGTGGGGGAGAAGAGGGGAAGGGAGGAGGGAAGGTGAGGGAAAGGGAAGCGATGCGAGGGAATGGAAGGGGATAGGTGGAGGGGGAGGAAAGGGAGGGGAGAAGGGAGGGAGAGGTGGGTAAGTGAGGGAAATGGAAGCATTGAATTACGAATTGCCAATCGAAGAGAGTACACAAGTGAGAATCACTAGTCGGACAAAAGCCACTGATGTGATGTGTGCTACTAGCTGCCAACCAATGAGAGTGCAAATGGGAGAAGCGGGCTAATGCAGTGGCAGTGCTACTGCCAACGAATAAGTGTGCAGGCTGTAAAAACAACTCAATGCAGTGCACAACTCAATGTGTGTCGGAAGTAAGTACCTTCGACGCCCGGGTGCACTGGCGTGTAGCGGTCCAATACACATCAAGAAAACTTAGCAAGAAACTTTGTTGTTGTATTTCCTGCTGCACTACTGTTTCCAAAAGAAAACGAGCAGCGACGAGAGCAGAAGTGAGAGACTAATCATCCACCGCAACATCATCTTTCACACTTGAACTGCCTTAAGTGTGACATCATTGCAGCTTTCTGGCACCTGGTAGCACCTGGTAGCACTATATCCCAGACACAGCCACTGACTCACCGCGAGTCAAATCCACCAGCTTCATCTCCCCTATGCCCGTTCCAACTGTCACCGCACTGCACTCCGCCACACCACCCCGTTTCATCCCATCACCACTGCTGGGCCAGATAGCAGCAAGAAAGCGGAAGGGCGGAGGGGGCGTGGTTGCATCAGCAGGTAAAAGAGACGCAGCAAATTGTTCAGACAGGCACGGACGAGGCGTGCCAGGTGGTGTGTGCTGACGTGGCACACCGTACGGGCTTGGGAGTGGCTGGAGGGAGGGGGTTGTGTGAGAGGGATGGAAGGAGGACGAGAAGACAGAGGGAAGAAAGGAGGGAGGCTTGGTGGCTTTTTTCCTCGGTGCTTTGGTGCCACCACGCCATATGGGCTTGGAAGTGGCTGAGGAAAGGGACTGTGCAAGGGGGGAAAGCGGAGGGGGGAAGGGGAAGGGGGGGGGAAGGGGAGGGGCGGGGAAGGGGAAGGGGGGGGGGAAGGGGAGGGGGGGGGGAAAGGGGGGGAAGGGGAGGGGGGGAAAAGGGGGGGGGGGGGGAAGGGGAGGGGGGGGAAGGGAGGGGGTGGGAAGGGGAGGCGGGGGGGGGAGGGGATGGGGTGTAGAGGGGAGGGAGGGGAGAGGGGAGGGGGGGGAGAGGGGAAGGTGGGAAGAAAAAGCGAAAGACACACAACGTTGGGAACAAGAGGGGGGGGTGCTGGGGAAGAATCATCGGCTAAGAGAGTGACAGCAACTAATACTTATACCTTTACGACAGAACGCACCAAGGAATGGATATCACAATGGACACAATCTGTTTGAGAATTCCTTGCCTGTAACACCAGTGCAAAGTTGAGAACCTAAATATTCTTAACATTTTCTTATGATCGGAAATGTGCAAGGATACGCGGCGTTTCAGGATAAGCGCCACCAATCTGACCAACATCAAGGTCACAGAACAGACATGCACCCACCCACCCACCATCATTCCTCACCGTTGCAGGATCTCACTTGGGTGCTGTCACACAAGAAGCTTCTTGCAACGCTTTTCGTGCCGATCTCAAGCAGGAGAACTGCGAGATCGCTGGATAACTGGTGCCCGTAGAATCAATGCTACACGTTGAGGAGGAAACGGCGGCAACCGAGGTGAGGCGAAGGAATTGTCACGGAATTGTCACTCGATGGTGTTAAGAAACCGGGTGAGGCGAACGTGAAGGATCCATTGGGAGGAAGAAGAAAAGACTCCGTTCTGGAAAAAAAAAACTCAAAAGGGAACGGATTACTTTGTGTGAAGACTGAAGGAAACAGCAGGAAACGAGAACGGACGCACGCCAAAGACCTGATGAATGGAAAACCAGATTTGGTAGCGTGTCGAGGGCTTTCCTTGCCAGGTGAAGGATAACAATTAGGACGGGTTGCTCAAACCATGCGCCGCTTTTGCGGCTCCACCGAGGAATCTACATACGGTACGCGTCGCTTAACGAGGGTCCTTCCTTGCCAGGTGTCGGGATGATAATCAGCATGCGGGACTGCGCAAGCCCATGCGCCTCGCTGAATAGGATTGCGTTCGCGGCTCCACCGAGAACCCTCGAGTTGCTTTAAGAACGCGAGAAATGGTCGCAGATTCACGCGAGAAATCGTCGTACATGCTGGCTATCGCGCAGTCTGGGGCCAAAAGCAACGCGCAGCGCATGCGAAAGTGCCACATCGCGGAAATGCCGATCGCCCAATTTTGGCCTCCGTGGGTTTTTCTACGGAAAATCGTACAAAAAATCCCCCAACACACCAGAAATGTCCCGCCCATTTTGTGACACAAATGTCACGCAGACCCGCGTGCCCACCTTGCCGTTCCCGACTGCACTTACCACGAAATCGAGTCGCCCCCACTTCACAGAACGCGACCCGTCAAAGATAAAAAAATCCCCGCCCAAAAATTCGCACTTCAGACACCCTCGTTTCACTGAAGCACCTCGAATAAATGTACACTACCCCACGACTCAGTTGACATATCATTGACGATAAGGGTTAACCCACACCACACCTCCCTGCACAAAAGGACCTGTCTGAATCCACTACGAGCTACCAGAGTAAACAAAACAAGCAATAGTTTTTCAGTATAAATAACAACGGCACGTCCGCGAGCGCGTCCCACCACAAACCCCACCATCTACTCGCACAACAAAAACTTGTTCAACAGCAGCACCCTCTTGTTCACATAAGACTTGCACACGTGCACCACACGCTTTATGCACTCCACGTCGACCACAGCGTACTTGTTGTCCTGCCTCCCAGGCGCCAGCTGCACACATGTTGTGAGTGGGCAAAGGCCCGCTGCCTCATAATACTTGACGTACACGTACGCCCCTTCCTCCCTCTCTGCGTTCTTTGCACGGAACACGCACAAGCACCTTGCGTACCACTCCTTCACCTTCCACTTCTTCTCGTCAGCCTTCACTGCCACGTCCGAGAACCAGTTCTCAGACGGGCTGGCCTTCACAAATGTGCCCTTGGCCACCAGCTCCCCTCCACGTGTTCTCGGAATCGCCAGTGCCGTGTGCACCTACAAAACACATGCAACCTAACACTCCGGTCATGGAACTGCCTCGCCCCTCACAATCGGCCAGCCGTACCCCCTACATTGCACACACACATGCGTCCAACCATACCCTTACGTCTACGCAGCACGTACAAACCAGTACATCTCACCTTGATGTCCGGGGTGTTCATCCCAGCCTCAATGAGACATCTTCCAAGCCCATCCATGTCCGACCAAAGTGCCTCACGATACACCCACAGAATGGGGTCCTCTTCGTTCGCCACATTGGCACATCGCGACCGCCGTGTCAGCACGTGCCCTTGAAGTCGTACGGCCTGCGGTAGGGTCCACAGGGGTTTTACACCGCACACATGAATGTACACGCACAACCGCAAACACCACACCCGTCGCAACGTCCTGCTATTCAACAACCATGCCTTACAACCCAATGCCACAGCCTGAGTACACCCCAAGGCTCACTAGTCAACCCCCCCAACCCTCACGTTCCTCGCATTTTCACCACCACCCACCACCCCCCCCACTCCCCCCCCCCCCCCCCCCCCCCCCCCCCTCCCCTCCCCGTCCCCCTCCCCCCTCCGTCAGCACCCCGCTCCTCGAGATAGCCAATTCTCCTCCCCTCCCACAAGTTCAGAACTTAGAAACCCATAGCCCACGCCCTGAAGGTACCCACTCACCACTCGCAAAGCCGTGACGTACTGCCGACCACCCCCCGCCAGAGCCGCCACCTCCCGTGTGATCTCTCGCTGTACTTCCTCCTCCACGATGCGCCGTGGAATGTCCTTCCAGTTGCTGCCCCTCACCGGGACCTTTACCGTTCCCTTGTGCGTGTGCTCCCACAGTTCCGTGGAGTACTCCCACGGCATCCCCCGAAGGGGAATGGCATCAATAAGGTGCACAATCTGGTGCACCTTTGGAAAGTTCCAAGACGACTTCTGGTCCGGAAACGCGTCCCTGATGGCGTCCATCATCCTGCACGCATATCAGATCAGTACGCACTAACACCGTGTCATGACACATAGCGCCGACCCTGTCGATGTGCCACATATCCCACTTCTTAACCTCCCTTCACCGAACCAACCCCCCCCCCCCCCCCCCCCCCCCCCCGCCCTCACCTTCCCCACCCACCAATCTCATTCCTCCGCCCCCCCTCATACCCCTACACCCCCCTGGCACCCCATTGCCGCGTCTATCCCCTCCCCCCCCCTCTCGCCCCACACCGCCCCCCGCCCCCGCCCCCGGCCCCGTCCCCCGCACTCACGCGTAGGCAACCGTGCGGACATCACGCAGCGTCTGCTCCGTGTGCTTTGCGACTCCCACCAGCGCCTTGTAAAACATTGCGTACTTCCTGAACGCCCGCACCTCCTTCGTCCGCTGCTCCACCGCCTCCTCCTTGCAGCCGTCCATGCTGTCCGCGATAAGAATAGGCATCACTTGCATCATCCCTCGGTTCTCGAACACCGCATAGTTCGCCCGTGACCTGAACCAGGATGCCCCCCCGGGTATGCATACGACCGTTGTCCTGGTGTCCTTCTTCTGCTCCTTCTTCCGCCTGTGCATGTAACGACAATGGCTCACAGTCACCAACATGGCCCATTGTACATACCATCGAACACCCTGAGTACGCTGCCTATTACCTTTCAAACTCCCGCCTCTCTGGCTTGCTCTTCCCCTTTATGAATATGTCCGTGAGGTGCCCCAACATCCCTCCATCCAGCACGTGCAATATGTCCGCCACGCACGCCAGAAAAGCATTCCCCCACTCCGTGTCCGCGAAATTCCATCTCTCCAGGAAGCACTGCTCACGCACGCGGGATGGGGACACGCACAGACAACGACACACAGATGTTGGTCGATACACCGTTCCCCTAATGCGTAGTCGCATCCTTCGGCCACTACACAACAAACGAACCACAATTATCCCGTCCGACACACGCTCCGCCCGTACATGCACGGGGTGTGCAGACCACCGGCGCATAATTTTGCCCGCCTAGTCGCTCGTAGGCGCATTCAGTATAGCCTCCACCGTGTGCCGATGCAGCCCGGGAGTGCGCACTGTCGTCTCCCTCCTCAGATCCGCCAGATGCACCCTTTTGATGTAGCACCCGCTGCACGGCCTGTGTGACCTCTGCTGCATAGTCGCAGTGGCCCTAGACGACTCCGGGTAGTCCCCAACCTCCGCGAACAAGCAAGGGTACGCCTTCACAACCTTCCCAGAAGCATCGGTCACGTAGATGAACTTGAGTTCCGCTCTGCATTCCACCAGGCCACCAACACAATTCAGTGACAAACTTTTCCCCCCAATCCGTCCACATACTCACTCACAACACTCACCCGCTGTGCGCTCGCAATAGTGGCTCGAATATCACAGCCATGGCCTCCTGGAACACGCGCGTCTTCTCCGTGGATGTCGCCCACTCCGGAGGGAACGGGAGGACCCCGGCGAGCACGTGTCCTGGTTCGAGCCACCTCAGCCTCTCCGGAATGTTGAATAGGCTAATCAGGACCGGCCATGCTTGGAGCCTGCCGTTATGTGAAGCGTGCGTGCTGTCGCTGTACACGATAACGCCCAGAATCATCCCCTTCTGGCCTGGACGCGCCGCCTGCGCACGGAACCCCCTGATCAGCCGTCAAAGCCAATGCCGATTCATCCCCCCGTACTCTCGCGCAAGTCAAGAGCGCCAACCGACTAACTCACATGCGCTTTCTCTATCCAAATGCCCGTGTCTGGTGTGCTGAAATGTCTCTTCCCATTGCTGTCCTCCACGTCTGTCCGAGGCTCTGTCACGAAACCGTCCGAGTGTATGAACCGCACCAGCTTCTGCACCAACTGTCAGGAGGGAAAGTACACACACGCACTCGGTTACAACGCCTTTTAATGCATCCCATCCCTGGGGACCATCTCCGGGTCTACCACGCCCCATATACAACATCTTACCATTTCTGTGTTCCTGTAGTGCAGCGGCAGCCTCGCCATCTTTCCCCCGGGTCCGTAACACTTTATCTCCGTTTTCAACCACGGCACAAGGTCGGGAGGAGCCATCGCTTTTCCAAAGCGCCTCACGTCCACATAGTTTAGCCATCTCCTCACGTCCCTCACGGAGAACCTCGGGTTGCTGAAAATGGTAAGGAGCCTGTTCACCTCCCGTCTGGAAAGGTCAGCGTCCCGGAAGAAAATGTACATCTCCGTCAGCGTGTCGAACCCCTCATCCTCGCTGCTGACGTCGCTCAAAGCGCCGTCAGCCACCGGTTCGGCTGCTCCCATCCGCTCGCCCTCAACGTGTTGCTCTTCCACGCCCGTTCCAGCATCCGCAGCCATCTCTGATGGACGGCTCCGAACCAGCGACGGCGGTGGGGAGCCCCGCATTGCACGCATAGCCTCCCTGTACGCCTCCACTAGGCGTTCCGCCCTTGCGTGATGGATTTTCCGTCTGCATTGCTTGTTGCCGGCAAGGTGTGACTGCAGCGTGTTGTCGTCTACGTGCTCAAGCCCGCAGGCCTCGCACGCATTGCCTAACATGGCTGCAGCAGAGGGTGAAACCCTAATTTGTTTCTCTCCTCCCCCACTTGTTATACACAACTCGCCCATCGTCTCAACCATCGTAACGTCCTGGCACTACCTGGAGTGAACCCTGCCACATCAGCACCACTTTCAGTGAGTGTATTTACACGCCGCGGCTTCAACAAGCCCACACACGTGGCATCTCAACACAACAGTTACACCGCGGCCCTCATATGTGGTGCGATGTCTTTGCGAAACACGGTAATTCCACGTTCGACTAGTCAAGCGACTCCGCTGGTGCGATGAATTCGACCATTGGGCGTTGGGGCATGCGATACAGTCCGTACACACGCGTGCCAACACATACGCGTTTGCACCAACCCCGCATTCCGAGCTGAGTGACAAGATGACTACACTTACACAGACCCAAGAACCACCTTATAATGCTTAAAGTAACGACCCTGTCAACAACATCACACCCATTTGTATGTTTTTGAACCATTGTGCACACCACATTGAAACAAAAATAAAACAATCTGTGCTTGGACATTCAAGATTACACACAACATTACCAACACGCATGCCACTACACAACCATGCACCATCATCAAGTCCCGCACTTGCCACTAATACCTCAAAGGTATTGCTCCACTACAACGGACTCCCTGCCTGCGTCCTCTGACGTGCCTCACGATGCTATGCGATCCACGGCGGCAAAAGCGCCAATCGACCAGCCATGGCGTCAATGGTAAGTGCAGGCCTACACATGTTTGAGCGGGAGGCGGGGGTTCCGGATCAACGTCACGAGCCTATCTGCGTCGCGACTGCGCAACCCGGGGCCCGTAAATAGAGACACCAGCCTCTGAACAGCTTCACCATAAACGACGTCGTCATCGCGTGGCACCGTTCCGTCGTCCGACTCTGGTACGTCCCACTCCCGTCCACCGATGAGCCTCACACGTTCTCGCATGCGATCGCAGGTAGGCACAGTTTCGGGAGGAGACATCAACGCCTCGCAGCTTGTGTTACACCTCCTGTGTGTGCGCAACGCGCATATGTCCATGAATATCCCTCAGCAGTTTTCGCAAACATTCATTGCCTCGGCGCCGTCTTCCGATCCATCGACCTCGCTGGGTTGCTTCCGCTTTCGACCGTCCATATGGATAAGAGGCCTCACGCGCACCGAACCACGGGCATATCCAGTAACAGAACACGGTCGTAGAGGACACTGCGGTGAGTCACAGCACACCAGATTGGCCAAATTAAATTTGCTAGGGTTTCTCGGCTGTGTATCCCTTGCCACTTATGTCGGCAACGTGTCGTCCCCGTTATACACAAACACGATTCACAATGTATAGAAACAGCATGGTCATAATGCGGTGTTTCGCGATAAACACTACGCACAACCCACCACCACACCAACATGCCACAGAGATGCCAGCAACCTGTGGCCACAAAAATGCCAGCTGGCCAGCACCACACCCCATCCAAGCTTTTGACGCCGATAAAGAGCCACTCCAATCATACCACTCCATGTGGGACACTGACGTGGCTGTTTGTTCTGCTCGGGTACAACGTGCGGATTGCGTCTGTGAGGTGCACATCGTGGACAGACCTTGCACTCGCACACGGGGAGCCTCTGCCCAAAGGACGCTTCCGTCATATAATCGCACACGGACGCTCTTCACCTGGCATTTGTACAAGCTATGGCTGCGCTTGTGCAGCTCCTAGAGTAGCTGCGCGCCCACCCGGACGACGTTTTCTGCTTCGTCGAGACGCCGCTCCTCGCGACAACCTTGCCATTCACGTACAACGTGGAGCCTGACACACGGTACCGGCCGAAATGCGAGCTCCGCGTGTGTCTGCTGTTTAACGCTAGCGGCTCATCGTCGCAGCCGCCAATGGTCGTGGCACGTCGTGTTCGTGGCCGCCCCTACCGCCCGCTCTTCCCGGACGGCAAGCCGGTGCATCTGCGTCAGACGAGATCGGGGGAGCTTACGCCCGAGGTGGGTGCACGCGCTGCTAGTGTACTCATTGTGATCCAGAAGAGCGACACACCACACATCTAACCTCTTGATGCTCATTCCTCCCGCACCCACTCAGTGTTTCACAGAGTACATTGACCGATTCGACATGGAGCGGTTTAGCCACAACAAGTCTGCTATTGTCCTCGTGGCGCGCGCTACGCACGTGTCGCTGGACCCAGCGTGTGACGAGAGCACAATGTGCGGATTTCGTGTGCAGCAGCTCGCCTCAACCAAGGTTGTTCATATCGCTGGTGTCGTTTCGGCGTACAGCCTCCCGTGGTTCAACGGTGTGGTGGAGATGTTCAAGACGATTTTCCGGTCCCGCTACATCGGCTACATCATAAGGGACTCGGCGTGGCTGTCGAAGGGCGCCATGCCCATAATCGCCTTTGAGAATGTACTGCTATGGGTGGGGTCCGCTAGCGACTGCACTCCGTCCAGCGGCCGTCATCCTCTCATGGGCGAGGTCGGGGATTATGCCTATGGCGTGGAGGTCCCATCTTTATTTGACGGATTATCCAGCGACTTGTGTCACTGTGGAGCCTCTAATAACCCAACTCGTTCGTCTGCAAGGCCTGATAAACCAGTTCAACAAGGCAGACAGTGGCATCATGCAGGCACCCGAATACGCGGCCTGCGACAGTCGCATTCTCGCAGTCATTGGCCGTGGCGCTCCCGTCGTAGACGTCCTATCGGTGGAGATAACCGATCCGTTGCTTCTGCCAGCAGGGCCTAGGCTGCAGGACGCACGTAGTCGACGCAGAGTGGTGCGCGCCGTTACGAAGACATACATACGGACTGCGACTGAGCTGGGCATTCTTCCTGAGCGCAAAGGTCTGTCCAACGACGACGTCATCGACCGCCTTCGGCGCACTCCCCCTAAGCGGCCTCGTTTGAGCAGTGCGCGCCAGACAGTTCCTGGGTATAGTGACAACGACACCTTGGACGAAGATATGTTGTGCTGCAACAGCTCTCCTATCGCATCATCTGTCACTGGCAACAGCTGCTAGGCGGGACTGTGACTTGATGTGAAGGCGGGACTGGGACTGGGACAGGAGGAGGACGCTCACGACGGACACGACTACCAGTGCGAGCAGGACGAGACTCAGGCTCACGACGCTCTGTAAGACCTCCTGTGGGACCAGTATAAGGAGAGGGAGCAGGGAGAGGCGAGGTAGGTGGTAACTGTGACTGCGGCTGGACAGGCAGAGGACACTCTACGGAGGGAGGAGGACAAGGAGGAGGAGCCTGCCCAAGAACCTGCTGAAGGAGCGGTACGAAGTACGGTCGCGGCCGCGCAGCGTCTCCAGAAGCAGAGGAGACTCCAGCGGCCGGGTCCACAGCACCAGCAGCAGCTCCACCGGCCGGGTCCTCAGCACCAGTAGTAGCTCCAACGCCCGGGTCCTCAGCAGCAGCAGCAGCGCCACCGCCCGGGTCCTCAGCTCCAGCAGCAGCTCCACCGTCCGAGTCCTCAGCACCAGCAGTAGCTCCACCGTCCGGGTCCTCAGCACCAGCAGCAGCGCCACCGCCCAGGTCCTCAGCTCCAGCAGCAGCTCCAACGTCAGAGTCCTCAGCACCAGCAGTAGCTCCACCAGGCGGGTCCGCAGTACCAGCAGCAGCTCCCACGTCCGGGTCCTCAGCACCAGCAGCAGCGCCACCCCCAGGGTCCGCAGCACCAGGAGCACCACTCCGAAGACTGCAGCGCCGTGTGTACCACTCGCGGATCTGCTGAATGGGGGGGAGCTCCTGGGTAGGAGGGGAAGTACCGGGACGAGCTCCAGCAGCACCTCTCCGGAGGCGGCAGTACTCGAGGTACCTCTCCTGCAGCTGCTGGGAGGAGAGGGCTCCTCCAGGTGTAGCACGCTCAGGCTCAGCACCCCCAGACGCAGCACCCCCAGACCCAGCACCCCCAGGCTCAGCACCTCCAGGCTCCGCACCTCCAGGCTCAGCACCCCCAGGCTCCGCACCCCCAGACTCAGCACTCCCAGGCTCAGCACCCCCAGACGCAGCACCCCCAGGCTCAGCACCCCCAGACGCAGCACCCCCAGGCTCAGTACCCCGAGCAGGACGAGAGTCAACAGCTACCTCGACAGGCTCACCCGGGTCTACCTGGGACACACCTGAGGGAGCGGCACCCTGAGGGGGGAGGGGGTCTGGTACCTCAGCACCTGGAGCGAGGAAGAGAGGCGGGGGGGGGAGCGGGGCAGTGCGGTAGGGGAAGAGGCGGTAGTAGGGGACGGACTCGTCAAAAGTGACGTCCTGAGAGGCCAGGACACGCCGCGAGGTGGGGTGGTAGAACTGCCAACCAGGGGCGTCCGGGACAAAGCCAAGGAAGACGCAGGGGACAGCGCGACGGGAGAGCTTGTCCGCGGACGTGTCGCGGACAAAAGCTCGGGATCCCCAGACCCAAAAACGCGACGCATCGCCAGCCTCTCCCGTCCAACGCAGTGTCGGCGAGGTCTCCGACAAGGAGACACGGGGCCAGAGGTTGAGCTGATGCGCAGCGTATCGGACTGCAAACGGCCACAGAAAGTGGGGGGCAGCCGCATGAACCAAGGAGGTACGAGCGACCTCCATGACCAAGCCAATGCGGCGCTCAGCAACCCCATTCTGCTGTGGAGAGGCCGGAAGCGTGAACGACTGCTCAATGCCCTCCTGCTGACAGAAGGCCTCCAAGAGGCCAGAGGAAAACTCTCCACCTCTGTCAGAGTGCAGACGCAGGACAGGGAAGTCGGAGTGGAAACGCTCACTGAGCTGGAGACGAGATCTGCGGATCCAAGGGATCAAGACATCAGGGACGTCACCCTTGGTGCGCAAGGGGAAGACCGTGGTGTAGCGCGAGAAGTCGTCAACAACAATCAGGAAGTACCTCTCCTGACCCTGGCCACGGACGCGGGCTGGGCCCCACACGTCCATGTGGAGCGTCTGCAAAGGAGCAGTCGTCGGGGGAAAGGAGGAGGAGTGAGGAGCGGCGCGCTGCCGCCCCTCGACACAGGGAAGACAGGGAGGAGCAGGTGAGGCTGGAAGGGGAGGGAGCACCCTGGGAAGCCCAGCAACAAGGTCCCGTTTGTGCATGGCCCAAAGGCGCTGCACAGACGGGTGACCAAGGCGGTGGTGCCAAAGGACAGTCTCATGCGCCAGAGAGCGACACGAGCAGGGGGCGGACAGCTGACCTGACGCAGACGCAGACGCGGACGCAGCTACCTGAGGGGAGTCAGTGGTCAGTGTGTAAAGGTCCGACCCCGGCTCCCGAGTGAAGGTAGCCAGGTGGCGACCCGTCCGAGCACACGTGCAGTGTGTCACGCGCTCGTAGGCAGGGGTGAACTGGTGAACACCCCCGTCCTGGAGCGCACTACCTGCCACCAAGTTCGTAGAGAACGAGGGGAGGTAGAGACCTGACAGCGTGCCGGACGGGACCGCCGGACAAGGAAGGACAGTGGAGGAGGTCGCAATGACCGGACCCCCAGAGGGGTCAGCAAGGGAGACAGCAACTGGCCGAGCGAGTGGCTCAAGGACAGTGCGGTCACGAAAGAAAGAGCGAGAAGCACCTGAGTCCAGGGTGAAGGTGTGCAGTGCTGCAGTCGACTCAGTACCAGGGGGCACGGACGCACGAGCACCTAGGGCTGCAGCCTCACCAGGACCTGTGGGAGGAGACGCACTAGCACCTAGAGCGGCAGCCGGACTGGCCTGAATGCCCGGGTCGGGCGGAACACGCAAGTACTGAGCACCCTCTCCACTAATAGACATTGCATACATGGCAGTGAGAATAGCATCAAAGTCTAAAGCCCAAATATCAACACCCCTCTTTTCCAGATCAGCCCAGCGCGGCAGCTCAGTGGCAGCAGGAAACTGAGTGCGCCACGCGTCGTTAAGGCGCGCGAAGCAGCGCTGCGTGGGGTGCGGCCTCCCACACTGCTGGCCGCTGCGGTCACCTGTGCGAATGACGTACGTGCAGGTAAAGCTACGCTGCGCATACCACTCACGGGCGGCCTGAAGCGTCGGGGCGGGCTGCTGACTCTGCCCTCCGCCAGTGCCTCCACGACCACCACCCCCACCGCCGCCACCCCGGCCACCTCCACCCCTGCCGCCGCCACGACCACCTCCGCCTCCGCTGCCGCCTCCACCACCACTCCCACCGCTGCTGTCTCCTCCCCCACTGCCGCCACTAGTCTCCCCAGCCGCGCCTCCACTCCCACCGCCTCCACCCCCACCTCCTCCGCCGCCACCCCCACCCCTGCCCCCTTTGTTCCTGCGGCGCCCACTCGAAGCAGACGCGGTCCCGACCTTCTCAGCACCAAGAAGGTCGACAGCAGCAGCAGAGGCGACAGAGGGGAGGAGGGGGGAAGGGGAACACCCCTCAAAGAACGGGGTGCGGGGGTCGCCACGAGAGGTGCCTACAGCGACGATGCTCGCCTCAGCTGCAAGCAGTTCCTTCTCGAGGAGGGCAACAGTGAGCTCAGTGGGGGAGCGAGAGAGGAAGTGGTCCCTGACTGCGCGCAGAGAGTCAGGAAGGCGGGTGACGATGTGGTAGAGAGTGATCCAGAGCGGGGGGGGGTTGCTAGTGAGAAACTCGGCAGGCATAGCAGCGCGAAAGCGGGCCTCACTAGTCTTAAGGTGGGTGATGAGGTCTGCGACAGTGTGAAAGGAGGCTAGGTCGGGGAACAGGTAGGGGAGAGTGAGGCGGCCTAGCGTGGCAGAAGCTGGCGAGGAGTAGCGGGCAACTACAGCGGTGTAGAGGTCCTTAGCAGTCTTGCACTGGCCGAAGTGCTCGCGCTCGTCTAGCGGCAGGGAGTTGCGAATAGCAAAGCGAGCGTGCGCATCACGGGTCTGCCACTGGGAACGCAGAGTGCTGTCAGCAGTCGAGTCAGGGGCAGTGGCATGGCCTAGGGCGTGGTCGTACAGTGAGATATCTTCCTTGGCAGTGAGCTGTAGGAACAGGTGCAGGTCATCGAGCCAGGTTTCGAACTTCACTGGACGGCCCTCGGCATCGAAAGCTAGAACTGGCGGACTAGCCATAGTGACAGTAGCAGTAGTAACAGTAGTAGTAGGAATCAGGCCGCTGGAAAGGTGTGCGGAGGGTCAACGGGGCCGGCGGGGCCGCTAGGCAAGGCGCGGGCGGGGTCGACTGTCCGTAGTGGCACACGAGCGGCAGTAGTAGGTAGCGTGGCAGCAGGAGCTGCAACGGTGCACTGGTGGCTGCTGCAGTGGCAGCAGTGCGCGCGGTAGGTAGAAGGTAAACAACAGTGAGAGCGAGTGCCTCGCGGGCGGCGGCTGCAGAAGCGCACAGGCGGCAGCGGCGCACTGGGAACGGCGGTGCACGGGCAGCGGGAGCGCACGGGCAGCGGCGGCGCACAGGCAGCGGCGGCGCTCGGGAGGCAGCAGTGCGCAAGCAGCAGCGGAAGCAGCGGCGTACGAGCGGCTGCGGGCAGCGGGGCGTGCGCTAGCAGGCGACGGGCGGCTGCGGGGCGTGCACGAGCAGGCGACGGGCGGCTGCGGGCGGGCGGCCGCTGCGACAGCGGGCTGCGGGCCTGCGGGACGTGCGCGAGCAGGCGACGGGCGGCTGCGGGGCGTGCGCGAGCAGGCTACGAGCGGCTGCGGGGCGTGCGCTAGCAGGCGACGGGCGGCTGCGGGGCGTGCGCGAGCAGGCGACGGGCGGCTGCGGGGCGCGCGCGAGCAGGCGACGGGCGGCTGCGGGGCGCGCGCGAGCAGGCGACGGGCCGCGCGCGAGGGAAATAAGGCGCGCGCGGGAAAAAAAAGGCCGCGCGCGAGCGGCTAAGGGGCGGCGCGACGGGGCCTTAAGGGGTGGGTCGCGCCTCGCGGGAGGTAGGGGCCGTAAAAAAAAGTTCGAGGCGCCCTAGGTAGGTAGGTAACGGTGGGCCCTTAAAAAAAAAACGGTCCTAGCAAAGGACCTGCTCTGAAACCATGTCAGAATGAACGGACAGGAATGACTGTACTAGCACAAAGTTGGATACAAGTAGTAAACCCTAATCTAGTGTACCCCCTAAGGTGTAACCCACTACAGCCTACAATCATATAAACATATAATGTTTGACATATGGACGCTGCAATGCTATTCAAAGTTCTCGTATGTGTTGTCTCGTTGTTGAAATGCATAACTATGTTGGGTACATGCACTTGTAATGCGCAACAGAATAAGGAACCAGAATACCAACATCGTTGTTTTCCGCACCCTGGACAGGAACGTTATATGCATCGCGCGTTACAAGAGGTCTCGGAAGGTGCTTGCAACTGTATCTGATATCCCGAGTGGTATATCTCCAAATAGACAATGGTAGCGTTGTAGTGAAACGCAGTGTTGGTGTAGTGATTTGCACTCGCTACAAGCTAACACCATTCCAGCCGTTGCGAGCCCTGCATGCAGCCTGTCCAGAGTCTTCTACTTTGGCGCGCTTACCTATAATCTGGACGCGTGGCACCCTCGTCTGTCTACCCATCCAGTCCTATTCCGCACATTCGACGTCACCAGATTCAGTTGGCTCCGAACATCATCATCGTGTGCAGACCCGTCTTTCCAGCGCAGCCATGGTGCGGACAATAGAAGGTGAGCATTGTGGACGATGAGGTTCATTAGATCCTTCAGTCATTCGTTGCAGCCGCGCACTATCTCGCACGTCCAGACGTTTAATGCACGATATCTAAGCGTGCAAGACACGGGAAACCCGTACACGAAGGCGGGTCTCCACAGCTTGCTCAACGCGTGGAAGAGTTGATTGAGCGGATGCGTACCAAGAGGCCGGGAACAGACTCACCACCTCCGGCAGACAGCGACACTAAGCGAGAGATTTTAAAGCTTGAAAAACCCGTGGGCGCACGCGCTCCATCCGTTCAACGCTTCCCAACTGCTGTGGATGACGAGCCGGACGACTTGGTTAGAAGGTTGCAGTTGCCGGAAACCCAGAAGGCCTTCTAGCCGTTGACCCTATATGGACCTCATGGCGTGGGGTGCCAGTTGACCGCCCAGGATGCGCTTACAACCGCAGACGGCCAGTGTCTTGCCGACAGCGTCGTAGATTTCCATAACATGTGAGTCGGTTTCTGTGTGCCCGGCCGTACGGAAAATCACCCGCATAATGCCCTTTGTATTAACACACTAACGCCCCTTATCCCTTTGCGTGTGTAGACTGCTGAACATCCGACACCCGGTTTTGCCGGATAGCAAGACATGGTTTCTGTTGGACACCAAAGCCTACGTGTACGCGACGCAGTTGAACAGGGCGTTGCCAATGGGCAGATCACCGTGTATTTTCGATCTAGACTACCTTGCCATACCGGTGATAGCGAAGTGAGTGTTTACGCGATCGTGGTTCCTGTGGAGCCTTTGCAAGAAGGTGTGTAGTAGATGTAGATGACTTAACGCGTTGCCACCTTCTGACCGTGTGTGCTTGCAGGAAACACCTCTCCCTGGTTATTGCGGTAAATCCACGGGCGTTGACACGCAGGATGTCATCTGAGGGGGCCAACGACAAGCTCTTCCTCGTCCACTTTGACAGCGACGGGCTGCACACGCGGTCGCCTCAGGTTATAGAGGGTGTGAAGAAGTAAGACGCCAACAAGGTGTGCAAATAGCCGTGGCGGTACCTGTGAGGGAGCCTGTACGATAACCCGTTCGTTTGTTGATGGCGCAAGACGTTGTATCTACTTCACAAGGCGCGACGGCCAACCGGCGACCATCAGTTTGCCGAAAAGGCTTTGAACGACGCCGAACGCATTGTCATCCAGGTACGGTCCTCTTGGCGAACGTACGGTATTAGTGATTAGATGGCGCGATGTGAACGCGGAGATCGGCAACTGAACCATTCTTGCACTACTATGGATATGTTGCAGAAGGAGGTGATCCCGCAACAATCTAACGACAAGGACTACAGCGTGTTTGTGTGTATGTACCTCCACGGCCTAGTCAACACTGGATTCAAGACTGTGATGACGTGGGTGTCATGCAACGGCGTCACAGCGCACACATACAGGAGAGGCATGCGCCGTGATGTGTGCAGTCATGCTGTGGGAGAGCTATTTGTGCAGCTCTACATGGAAGAAGTCGATGTACCCCTCCAGCCCATCGCGCGATTGGGAGACGAGGGCTGCATGTTGTTTCCAACGGAGGACGTGGTCAGAACGGAACTGGCGAAGCTGTCCTGCGATCGGAACAGCATGGAGGTGGATGGTGTCCTACTGGCGGCCGCCGTGATGAGTATCGCAGGGGCGCTTGGTTTCACCCAGGATCAGCTGGAAGCGGCGTGTGCCCATGAGTTGGGTACACAAGGGGCGCGACTCATCAGGCGGTCTGACACGGCCGAAAGGCAGAGGGAGCGTGAGGCGGCTACAAGGTCGCTGTCCAGACTTCTTCACAACACCCCTGCACCTCTGCCTCGCCCTGGGTTCATGAGTGTCACGTTCCCGCATTCGGCGTGCGCCGGCGACGGGGATACGAGGGGACACGTGTCCAACACTTCCAATCCGAAGACACCAGATGCCACGCCCGTAAAGGGTCATGGTGCATGCGGTCGCACGCCGAGGACAAGGGCCAACAAGGGGAAGGGAAGAGTCACAGGGGGTGTGGTGAAACGTGGTGGTACGAGCGAGTACACCAGTGTGTGGTATGATCTACGTGTGCGAAAGTGGTGCGTCAAAATCATTGCAGACCCGGCGACTGGGAAGCAAGTCCGCCTAGGCGCGTACATGAAGGAGGAGGACGCGGCGTACGCGTACGTGGCTGGAGCGTTTGTGATCAGACGGAAGGATCACTTCCCCAAGGTGATGCCATTGTCGGATGCGGAGATGGCTGCACTGGAGGGGGCCATCGTGGATGACGTGAGGCACCTGGTACAGAAGCGGCAGTGGTACAGGTGGAGGGAGTGGCGTAAAGCTATGGACGACATTGGCGTTGTGCCAGGAACTCCCTTCAAGCCAGAGCCAGGAGCAGAGTCGCCTCCAACGAAAGCAGAAGGGGCAGATAGCGCAACACGTGATGCTGAAGCAGATAAGGATCTGGTGAGCGAAGAAGGCACTGGGGAACAGGACAGTGATGGGGGTATTGCGTGCACGCAGGCCCCAGCCTAGTGTGTGGGCAATGGCCGTACCACTTGGCGGATGGGATGTGAATTTGTGGGAGTAGAGGAGGTAGATGTCGTTTGTCAACTGTGGTTGTTGCTGCGTTTGCAGGAGTACGGGTTTGGAAGCGTGTAGTAGCCTCTGAGATAAATTTGTTATAGATTTGTATGTTGAAAGAGTTTGTGGTTTGAACACCGTAGTGGAGTTTCACGATCTGTTGGATATGGTGTACCTGTAACAAACCATTTGACTGGAATCGATCAAACTGTTGTAATCGGGGGGCTCAGTACACGATGGCGCTAGCATGTAGCTACGTGTGTGGACACAATTTCGTACATGCTGGACAATATGGGGTAACGTTGCCAGATGTCGTCTTGCTGCCAAAAAGTCTTGGTGTAGAGGAGGGTTGTGCACAAAAAGTGACGTAGTGCACATTTGTGCACATCGTCTGTCTAGGTGCCTCCGGCAACATGGACAGTGGCAATGAGAGCGGAAGAGCGTCCAGGGACGGAAAACGTCAGCGAGTGTCCAAGACACCGTCTCACTTGAAGAACTACGTGATGCCGGGATCCTCCAAGCGTCCACCGGTGCCGAAGGCGCCCGTGGCTAAGCGCGCGAAAACTGCTGCGAGGCCAGCACCTAGCGTGACGTCTGACCGGGGTATGTGTGTCGCCATTGTTATGCTGAGCCGCATTTGAGTGTTTGCCAATATCACATGACACACACTGACAAGTTCGATGTGGGTGTTTCGCAGCGTCAACTCCCCCGCCGGAAGCTCGGGATGATCGAGATGGCGAGAGCTCCTCGTCGCGCGAGACGACAACCGCCGCAAGGCTGGAACAACGAGGTCGATTGAGGATGCGCGCACCGCCGGACTGGAAAGAGGCGCAGAGTCTCGGTGATGGAGGATGAGGATGGGCCAGAAGAACCACCAGTGACGGGCCCCGGCCCCGTGTCTTCGGACGACGATGCGAACGAAGCTCTCCCTAGGGTCAATCCGCGAGTCGACGGCGACAACGAGGCCACTCAGAAGGAGGCTTCAGATTCTGCGCCCGTGACCAGGGCGGAGATGATTGCGCTGCGCAAGATGCAGATGGACACGGCGGCCACAATGGCACGTCTGGAGACGGCACTGCTGGCGTCGCTGGCAAACCACCAGGCGAAGAAACGCAAGCGGGACAACGCAAGGGGGGAGTGCGACAGGGTGAACCCAAGGAAGGCGCGGCGCGTTGGAAGTCCAGATCCGTCGCTGGATGATGACGAGCTGGAGGAGGAGGTCGGTCGACACGTGAGGACGTCTAGCTCACCGATCCTGCAGCGAGCGCTGAAGTTCTTACCCGCGAACAAAGGGTGGAAGGTGGGGTGATTAGGTTGCAAACCCCGCTATGTGGGTACGCTTTGTCACCGAGTATCACGTAGTGTCTGTCGAGTGAAGGAGGGCTGATGACGGTAGGCCGCATTGCGTATCACTAATGCTTCTGCACGTTGTTGTTGCACGTAGGAGATTTGCGAGCAGCTGCGTGTGCACCTTTTCATCGACGCTCCGGACGCGATCATGTCGTTCTACCCTAGTAGCGCGGCGAAGAGTGCCGGGCTGTGCGCGGTCATTGAGCGACTGACACCCACCTTTGCGAGCCTGGCAATGGCGGCGGACAAGGCTCGGCGCGCTGACCTGAACCGTACGCTGAGCGACTGGAAGACGGCGGCTGCCGGCAGAGTGCGGGACATTGCGCTGCCGAAGCTGGGACTATTCCGCGACGAGAAGGACGCGCGCAGCCCGTGGGCTGCGCCCAAGGCTCGCTCTGCGGCGAGAGTCAAGGAGCGTCTGCTTTTGACGCTGGACGGGGAGGGTAAGCTGTTGCGTGATGACGGTCAATGCGTGCTGTGCGTAAGTTATTTGCCGCCCGTAACTACGCATGGGTGTTGTGCATACCATTTCGCGATCTCCAAGTGGAGCGAGGACAGGCGCGGCATGCCCTTTGCTTCGGGCGCGTTTGCTGCATGCGCTCGAGCGGCTTTCAGGCCCAGGATGGTCAATGGGACGCTGACTTCGAAGCTGTATCACATGGCTTGGCTCGAGCACGTGGTGAGTGTATAAGGGGCGAAGGCATGCCCGAGAGCCGAGTTGGTGTGTTGATAGGCGAGGAGGGGTGCGCATCTCGGCGGTTAATCCTCCTCCCTGCTTTGGGTGGGTCTCATGTGCGCAGGTGACCGACGCGATCCGCTTTTGGGACACCCGCAAGGGCAGGCTGTCGAACTCTGCGGGTGTCAACGCGCAGATCGTGGACGGCCTCCGCGAGTGCGCCCTCGAGGAAGTCATGGCTGCCGTCGAGCAGTTCCAGCCGCGGTACGACCCCACGACGTCATCGTGGGCGTGGGGTCGACATGGCCTGCGCTTGTCTGCGTGCGGTGTTGAGCGGCAGGAGCCCGCCATGCAGGCAACCAGCGTGAGCGGAGCAGCAAGGGACAACATGTCTCTTACCTGAGGCCTAGGAGAGAGGCCGGGTGTAATGCAAAGTGCCAGTTCAGTCTCTAGCATGCAAGAAAGTTGTGTAGGATGATGTACGGTATTGAGAGCCTGTAGGGCTGGAGTGTTGGAAGTAGCATTTTAAGTTGTGGGGTTGTGTTGGGTGGTGGTTATTGGTGAGGCCTAGAGGATGGGTTGGATGTGTTATGTGTGGAGCTGTGGTCAATGCAGAGATAATTGCGTGAGCCATTGAGTTGAGTACAATGTCAGCCGCTTAAATTGGGTGAACATCATGGCCCCGGAGCCTGTAACCATATGTGGTGGTGGATACGCGGCGTGGGACAAATGTTGGTGGATATGGACGGTGAGATCTATGGGCATGTATATCGCGCTGCGCATGGATGATCAGCGTGGCACGTGTGGGCGACGGAGGTGATGAGTGGTAGCGTCGAGGGCGCGAGAGTCGCCAGTCGTTGTACAGGGTGGATTGTATGAAAGTCATGGTGAGGTGCGATCCGATGCGACAAAGTTGACGCGTATGATGCTGTCTGTTTGAAGCTTACGAAGGATATGCGATGCAGGACGGTCGTCGATATGTGCGCATAAGTGACGACAAGAGCCGTGGATCGGGTATGGAATGGAAGGTGGTGGTCCAGACAGATGGATTGACGTGCGCCGTCGATTGTATCTGGGATGTGTGCACCATAATCGTGGATGGCTGTCGGATCGACGGGTGGGAGAAGGGCACGTGGGCAGGTTGAAGATAGAGGAGGCGAATCTGGAGAGAGTATGAATTTCGTGTCGACGGTTGGGATTGCGTGCAACATGGTGAGGTGTGCACGCATATACCGCAGGGGTCGGATGATGTGTCGCAGCGAGGTGCGTAGATTGGAGTGGGGATGAAGCGTTGCGATGCGGCGCGGGGAATGTTGGGCAGGCTGTGGCAGCCATGGATTATGGTGCTTGAGGCGGGATCTGGACGGTTCATTGTTGGAGGTTGAGAGGACACGTGCGCGAAGGTGGTTGGTAGTGACTAAAAGACACGCAAGTACGTTCAGTTGTATGTCGCGTTGGATGTAACGGCGTACTGGAAAGTGTACACCACGTGGATGCCTACGTGGCAGTGGCACTGTTCAGTAATTTTAACGTGACGTTGACGTAACTGCGCGGGGGGTCACTGTACAGCGACGAAGTGGTGACGTTGACGTGACGGAGGTCGTGACGGAAATGTCTCGTTTCCGTGAGTTTTATGTGACGAAAGGGTGGGGTTTGCGTTACCTGGTAGGTGACTTTGCGTTTTGTGGCTTCTGTCCATGACTTTTCCGTGACCAAAAAATGTCACCTAATAGTCACGGAAATGTCTCATTTCTGTGACATTTCTGACTTAGCATTTTCGCGATGCATCGCTCATGTCGGGCAGGCATGCATGCATGGTGCACGGTGTTCGCAACAACGCTCGCTCCATTCGACAAGTGTAAGGAGAAGACTGCTCTCACGAGGAACATCCCGCCGCTGCAGCCTAGGAGAACTATAGCGTACGGCGCTGCGAAATTCGCGGGTGACGCGACACGTGGGCAACACATCATGGGAGAATATGCCAACATGGGGCTAAACGCGTACAGTCATTGGTACACTGCTGGTTTTGTTGATTAGGTTACGAGTTTGGTAGCTCAACAGCACTTGTACATGCGCGAAATTTCCTTAATTTTGGAGTTCCCGCTGACGAATACTGGCGCACCATTTCTGCCATATATCCAAGACGCAAAAAAAATGTACACCTGTCATGTATTTCGTAAACGTTCCACAATTCAAATATTCTTGCCATTTTTTAAGTCTTCATGTGGTTTGAATTGAATGTGATCAAACTGGAAGGTGCCGGTATCTTCCATCAGTCCACCCATCAAGCTGCCAGCTTGCTGCGCTTGCTTCCAGCAGCACCACTCGCACCCTTCCTCCCACCATCACTTGCCGACCTTCCAGTCCCTCTCCCTGCCGCACTGCTGCCAGCAGCCACAGCCTTGCTGTTCCCGCCCTGTGGCAATGTAGGCTGGGACTTTCCAGTTGCTCCTGCCCTTTTTGCCTCTGCTGGTGTCTCTTCTGCCTCTGTTGTGTCACCACCCATTACAGTCACATCTGTGAGCATGCGCTTGGAGCTTCAAGGCCCTGCATTGATGCGTAATGAAATGGAGCGGGAAGCATATGTAAAAGCACATTCGCAAGAATTGAGATGACTGATGCATGATGGAATGGGAAGCATGTGTGAAAGCACAATCAAGAGAATTGACTTTTAAGTCAACTCAAAAGTCACCTCGTGGCTTGAAAGCCCTGGATGGATGCATGACGGAATAGAATAGGAAGTATATGTAAAAGCACATTCAAGAGAATTGAGACGTGCCGAGGAATCCGTCAATCCATCGATTTTCGTGTTGAGCAATCCAACTGCTCCGGACACCTGCTGCCTCACCTACCGAACCACCTGCTGCCACACCTGACCGAACCACTTGCTGCCGCACCTGACCGAACCACTTGCTGCCGCACCTGACCGAACCACTTGCTGCCTCACCTGATGCAGCAGCTCCAGATGCCACCCCTTCTGGCAGAAAGCAGAGAAAGTTGAGTGGCTGCTTCAGAAACACCTGTGCAGGGGGGTGGCAACACACAAGGCGAGGTAGGAACAAGAGGAGCAAACGTCAGCACGAAAAGTGAGGGGTTTTCAAGCGACCCGGGACGCAAGCTCGATATGCACTCTGGTTACCAGTCGCAGACTTCAGGCACCTGACGTAGCAACCTGAATCTTCACATTCATACCAGCAATAAGCCCTATCCGAACAATTCGGGTAGGACCAGCAGCCCAAGGCGGTGCGTACCTTGGCAACAAGGCGGCGCGTGTGCAGATGGTGGATGCGCAGGTAACGGTCCAGACCTGGTGGTCGGGTAAGGGGAAGGGAGGTGATGTGTTAGAAAGGTGGAGGAGAATGGGGATGGGGAATACGCAAGTATGCAGGTGGTGTATGCGCATGTAACGGTTGAGGCCTGGTGGAGGGAGGGAGGGCGGATGAAGAGAGAGATGCAAACAGAAGAGAGGAGTGATGAGGGAAAGGGGAGAGGAGTGATGGGGAAAAGGGAGAGGAGTGAAGGGGGAAAGGGGAGAGGAGTGATGGGGAAAAGGGAGAGGAGTGAAGGGGGAAAGGGGAGAGGAGTGATGGGGAAAAGGAGAGGAGTGAGGGGGAAAGAGGAGAGGAGTGATGAGAAGAGAGGCAGGCAGCAGTGAGTGGGCAGGTGGTGGATGGAGCGGGGAGTAAAAGGTCAACCTGGTAGGTATGTGAGTGCACTTTTGAGGCGCTTCAAAGGCAGGTGGTAGATGGGGAGATAACATGCCAGCCTGGTGCGTATGTCAATGCACACAGGATGGAGGCGAAGGGTGAGGGGTGCAACTTGCAAGGGCGAGGCGAGTGTAGAAGTGATGTGGGGTCGTTTTGAACTCTTGTGTCGATGCGAAAAGGAGAGTACAAGAATACTCGCAGCGACACAAATATTCAGAATATTCCTACCTGGAGCTCGTGTGTGAAGTGCGAACACATACCACAGGATGCCACGAGGGGCAGCGATGGGTGCATGGCGAGCGAGCGAATGGAGCCGGCGCACTCGCCCTTGAACGGGTGAGTGAGTGCACACAGGGTGCACAAGTGGCAACCACATACCGCATGAGGCTACAAGAGGCAGCGATGGGTGCATGGCGAGTGAACGAATGGAGCCCGCACACTCGCCCTTGAATGCTCCAGTGATGCGACCTGTGGCATGCACGTGGTGGTGTGTGCAGCGGGGAGCAGGGAAAAGGGGAGGGGAGGTGCGGAGGGAAGGGATGGGAAAGGAAGCGCACTCGCCCTTGAATGCTCCAGTGGTGCGACCTGTGGCATGCATGTGATGATGTGTGCAGTGGGGAGCAGGGAAAAGGGGAGGGGGGAGAGGAGAGGAGGGGAGGGAACGGGATGGGAAAGGAAGCACACTCGCCCTTACCGGTCCCTCAATGCGACCTGTGGCATGCAAGTGGTGTGCGCAGCGCAAGGGAGGGCAGGGAAAAGGGGAGGGGAGGAGGGGAACGGGATGGGAAAGGAAGCACACTCACCCTTGAAAGGTCCCGCGATGCGAGTGCTCAGCAGGGTGTGCTCAGCAGGGAGCAGGGGAAGGGAGCCGAGGCGGGGAGGGGAGGCAAGGCCAGGGGAGAGAACAGGAGGGGAAGGTATGGGAGGGGAAGGTAGGGGTGGGGGGGGGAGAGGCGGGTAGGGGAGGGGAGAAGAGGGAAGGAAAAGGAAGGGGGAAGGTGGCGGAGGGGAGAGAAGGGTAGGGGCGGGAATTGAAGGGGGGAGGAGGGGAGGGGAGGGAAGAGGGGAGGGGACTTTTATAACAAGCCAAAGTTCACAGATATGTGCCACTGAGTTGAGCTGTTGAATGCAAACTGATGCGAGTGCAGACAGAGGAAGCAGGTCAGTGCGGTGCCAGTGCTGCTGCCAACCAATCAGAGCGCGGGCTGCTGCACTGCAGCAGGTCACGGCGGTGACAGTGCAGGATTTTGGTAGACAAAAACGGGCAGCGACAGGTGCAGTACAAGTGACAACATGAATCCAGGTGAGAGAAGCGGTTCAGTGCGGTGCCAGCGCTGCTGCAGCAGGTCACGGCGGTGACAGTGCGTGGCTTGCATAGAGAAAGACGAGCAGCGCCAGGTGCAGTACAAACTCGACTCGCCCATTGCCCATGGCCAGCGACAGGTGCAGGACAAGTGAGAAACATGAATGCTCCAGTGCAAGAAAATGTGGATTCGAACTGCAGGAACATGAGTCCTCCACCGCAACATCGTCTTTCACGCCTTAAGACATTGCTGATTCACACCTCATGTGATGGCCTCCTTGCAGCTTGCGCTTGTCCTGGCCGTGAGGTGTATTTTGAGGTGCCCCAAGAGTCCTCCACCGCAACATCGTCTTTCACGCCTGCCTCATATGAGGGCATCATTGCAGCTTGCGCTGCTTCTGGCACGCCTTGAGACATTGCTACTTCACTTCACGTTGATCTGATCTGAACTGAATTCACTGCACTGCTTGGTAGCACCTGGTACCAGCTGGTAGCACCTGGTAGCACCTGGTAGCACCTGGTAGCACCTGGTAGCACCTGGTAGCACCTGGTACCAGCTGCTAGCACCTGGTACCAGCTGGTAGCACCTGGTAGCACCTGGTACCAGCTGGTAGCACCTGGTAGCACCTGGTACCAGCTGGTAGCACCTGGTAGCACCTGGTAGCACCTTGTACCAGCTGGTAGCACCTGGTAGCACCTGGTAGCACCTGATAGCACCTGATACCACCTGATAGCCCCTGGTAGCACTTGGTCTGGTAGCACCTGGTAGCACCGCTTCCCACCACAGCCACAGACTCACCGTGTGTCAGATCCACCTGCTTCATCTCCCCCATGCCCGTCCCGACCGCCACCGCACTGCACTCCTCCCCACCCTTGCTCCAGACAGCAGCAAGGGATCGAATCGGCACAGATCCCAGCGAGACGACTCTGAGGGGGCGCGGCTGCAAGAGCAGGTCGAAGACGCGAAGGGAGTTGTCCAGGCAGGCAGTGACGAGGCGCGCCGGGTGGCATGCGCTGACGTGGCACACCGCTGTCACGTGCTTCGGCGCCACAACGCCGTACGGGCTTGGTAGCGGCTGGGGGGGTGAGAGGCAGGGGTGGAAAGGGGAGGCAGAGGAACAGGGTTTGATTGACAGATGAGAGAAAGGAGGCTTGAATATCTTGGTGCAACTGCGCGTATGACCTCAAGAGAAGCTTGGGGGGTGAAGGGGGATGTGGTAGGGGGGCCGGTATTGGAAGGTGGAGTGAGTGTGCACAGGATTGAGGAAGGAGAGAAAGGAGGCCAGCACACCGTATCATACTGGGAGTGGCCAGCACACCGTATCAGATCGGGAGTGGCCGGGGGCATGTTGTGCGGGCAAGGGTGTGGGAGAGTTTGGAGAGGGATATGGGAGGAGTGAACGGCAGGAGGAAATAAGGGAGGAGCATGCAGTGAATGGAGACTCCAAAAAAGGGGGAGGCAGAAGGGGTAACACAAGGGGAAGGAAGGAAGCAGGGAAATGGAGGGACGGAGGCAGCGAGAGGACAAATGCACCTACCAGCTTGGCCTCCCACTTGAGTGAACCCATTTGAAGGTCCCACACTGTCACATCCGCTTCCTTGCTGCCGTGCGGTGGGGAAAACAGAAAGGGCACCGGATGGATGTCGTACAGAAGTAGTAAGGGGGGAGAGAGTGATAATAAGGAGGGTGAAAACGGGGCAAGAGAGGTGCCACACTGTCAAGCCCGCATCCCTCCTGCAGTGTAGTGGTAGGCGCGATATTGATGACAAAAACACGCGAGCGGAAAGCGAGGGCGAAGGAGGAGGATTAGGGCGTGGAGAAGGAGTTGGGGCATCATAATGGAAAGAGATGACGAGGGTAAGAGAGGGGTGAAGAAAGAAGTCAGAGAGAGGAGATTGAGAAGCAGTGGAAGCAAGACGACGAGGAGAGGAAGGCGGATAAGAGAGGAGAGCACTGACTGACCCACCAACGGCGATGGTGGCTCCAGTGGGGTCGACACCAGCACACAGCAGACGAGGAGCGAAGGGAGGGAGCAGGCGAGTTAGAGAGGCGGGCGGAGGAAGAGAGGAGAAGAGGAAAGATAGGAAAGGAGGAGAGGGGAGGCAAGTCCTCACCCGCCAACGGCAATGGGGGCTCCAGTGGGGTCGACAGCAGCACAGAGCAGACGCGGCCTCTCTGCTCCCCCTGCTGCACCGCTGGTAGAAGCAGCAGCACCGTTGGCAGCACTGGCAGCACCATTTGCAGCACTGGCAGCACCAGCAGCAGTAACTGTGTTACCACCTGAGCTCCCTCCTGCGCCTGACTCGCCGCTTTGCCGCTTCCTCTTCTTCTTTGATGGCTTGCGCGGTGCAATCGCCACAAACCGCCGCACCAATCGCTGCTCTGGCCGCCCACTCTGCACCCTCCTCTCCCCCCTCTTCCCCTTCTTCTCCTCCTCCCTCCTCCTCGCCCTCACTCACCTCCTCCCCTTCCTCCAACTCCTCCCCCTCCCACTCCCCCCCCCCTCCCCTCTCCCTCCCCCACCCCTCTCAGCCTCCCCTCTGCCCTGCCCCGCCTGGGCACCAACGCCACCTCTCGCACGCACACCAGCCCATTGTGAGACACACACACCAGCACCCCCACCTTCCTGCCCGCCTGCCCCCCCCGCTCTCCCTCCTCTCCTTGCTCCCCCTCTTCCGTGTGCCTTTATCTGCAGCAGCATCTCTTGGGTGGCAGCAGCACTGGGCGGGTGGGGAGGAGGGAGAGCGAGCAACATGCACCATCCAAACTCGGATCCGCCAATCCCCAAGGCCCCTCTGACAAACTCTGCTGCTCCTCTCCTCCTCGCCCGCCTGCCTCCCTGCCCTCCCCTTCCTCCTGTCCCGCCTCCCCTCCCCCTGCTCGCCGCCGTCCCCCTCTCTGCATTGGCTACCGCTCTGCACCGCTGCGCACCGCTCGCCTTGCAGACAGCCCTGCCAGGCGGGGAAGGAGAGCAGCAGGCGCACCTGGGGAGCGGTGCTGGCAGGGGGAGCGGTGCTGGCAGGGGGAGCGGTGCTGGCAGGGGGAGCGGTGCTGGCAGGAGGGGCGGTGCTGACAGGAGGGGCAGCAGCGACGCCTTCCCCCCCCTCTGCTGCCTCACCTGCAGCTGCTGCTGCTGCTGATGATGATGCTGGTGCTGATTCTTCTGGTGCTTCTACGTGGACGGAGCAGGTGGAGCGGGTGTTGAAAGGAGAACCACGTCAACCTGGTTGATACGGGCGAGGGGGGGTGGGGAGGAATGTAAGGAGTGGTTCAGACTCGTAGGGAGGGATTGAGAATCGGGAGAAGCCGCAAGGAAAAGGGTGGGGATCAGGTGGGAAGGAAAACAACAGGAGAAAGAAAGCAGGAGAGAAAATGATAGACGTACGGACAACAAGAGCCGAGGCAGTGGTAGTGGAGAAGAACGAAAGTGATGCAGAAGAGAAAACGCTGACAGAGGAAAGGAAAGTTGGAGAAAGCACGCGTGGTGGTTAAGACGGTGTGCAGTACCTCCGGCAGCAATTTATCTAGTGCCATGCTTTCCCTGAGCTTGAAATCCCAAATCCAGAACCTTTCCTGCCCTGCCTTTCCTAAGACTCCAAACCCTTGACCTGCCCTGCTTTGCCCTCCCTTAAACCCCGAACCCGCATGCCATGCTGCTCCTATAACCAACCCACCATGCCATGCTGCTCCTATAACCAACCCACCATGCCATGCTTGCGGGCGACTGCCACAATCTGCCCACCAGCATGTTAGAGGGCGGAAAACGATAGGGGGGGGGGGGAAGAAGAGGAGGAAAGAGAGGAAAGGAAATGGCATGGCATCACGTAGTAATTAGGTTTCACAATGAACAACAAACGTCAGAAAAGAGATGGGTTTTTGGGCGGGGATGGTGGCGAAGGGGGGGTCAAACGCTGCTTCAAGTCCAACAGATTGTAAAACCCGAACCCCGGAGCACTGGTCCGACCTGTCACGCTTTTTTGACAGTACAAAACATTCGCTTTCCCCCTCAAGCCAATGCAAAACCTGCAGTTCCCTCGTACCACGAGCTTTAAAGGATCTGAACCCCCGATGCCGCAAGCCCCACAACTTCCGACACTTGTCGCGCACAACAGGTCATGCCAAGCGGACGACTGTTAAACCCTCCGTAAGCCCTTCGAAGACTAAAAAACCCTTAAACCTCGATCCGCCGCCCGCACTCACTCACCGACGATCGCTCGTCTACCGCCACACACGCCGACGAGCACACTGCCGAACGTCCCTTATCCGCTTCGCCGAACCTAACCACCTCGGACTGCGCCGAACCGGACGCTCCGACTCGGGGCCCTGCCGAGCCTCCTGCTGCGGCGCCTTTATTCTGCCCGAAGAGAAACCACTGCGGGGGAAGGGAGGAAGGGAAGGGCAAGGCGCGATTGGCGAAATGCACGAACTTTGAATACAGCCGGGCATTTCGCCCAGGAAAGGAGGAGAGTGGCAGGGCATGGCGGGAGGTGAGAGACGCGAGGCGCGTAGCGAGAGTTGCGGGGCGAGATGGGCGAGATGGGCGAGATGGGCGAGATGGGCGAGGCGAGAGTCGCGGGGCGAGACTTTCGAAAGAGATAGTCGCGCAAAGAATCGCCACGTGATCAGCGCGATAATTCGATCGTTGATGGGTGTACCTTTGAGGAGCCCGAGCTCGTCGCCCGTGAGCAGTCGCACAGGCGGGCATGCGACGACTTCGCCGCGATCGACCTTCGGCATGGTGGGAAGGAGCGACGGCCGTCGCACGGTGGGTCTGCGATTCGATCAGCACGCGAGCGATTAGACTGCAAGTCTAGGATGGGTAAATCTCGAGTGAACTCAAATCGGAAAGCGTGTTGGGGAGCAATGAATTGTTTTGCCTGACGAGATTTTGGGTCCTTCCTGCGTTCGATATTTCGCGAGCCGTTTTGTGAGCCTTTTTCACTTCGACTCCCAAAATTGCTACACTCAAACCGTACCTTTCACTTAAACGACAATAACGAGTAAAATCTTCTTTGCTGTCGCCTCGCCAACTTTTTGGCAACCTATTTCACTAGTTTCTCTCATCCAGCGAGCACGCAATCCCTGCCCAGTGCCGACCTAAACTGGAAGCAGGACGTACGTTGGTTCGTTTCACACACAACGCGCGAGAGGAACGCAGGCACCAGCACCTGTGCTGCGAGTCTTTCTAACGGGTGCCGATCGGAGCAAGGCGAACGAGAGGCCGCCGAAATATTACTTTTAAAATCTTTCTGAGTACGATCTATATTGAGTCCGAGAGTGGGAACAGTAACAAAGCATCCGAGCCAGGCGATTTACGAATTTTTGAAGGACTGCGATTCAGCGGAGGGCTCGCGCGGATAAGAGTAGTCGAATTGGCTGAGAGCGGGAGGGAAAGGGGGAGGAGGGGCGACGCGATTGCTGGCGATTTATTCAACTCTGCGACGGACACCGACTCAACGGAGGGCTCGCGTGGATAAGATAGTAGTCGAATTGGCTGAGAGGGGAAGGGGGAGGAGGGGCGACGCGGTTACAGGCGGAAGAAGGCGCGGCGCAACTTTAGGCGTCTAATACCGCTGAAGGAGGGACGCGAGTAAAGGAGCGGCGCGCGTCGGCGAGTCGCCAAAAGGCGGCATCATGCGAGCGCGAAAAGCGGCGACGGAGGTGGCGAGCTGGACTTGTCGCGAGCCAATCAGGGCGTGTGGCTGATGAAGGTGCGAAAGAGGCTGAACGGAATGCCAGGTGACAAAGCACCGCTGATCGTGAAGCCATTTTATGGCTGACTAGTGGCTCAAAAGGGGGCGACAAGCCAAACTTCCTCCTGCCCCCTTGCCTCGTCGTCGCTCTCATCCCATCTCCCCCCTACCCCTTTACCAACACCACCGTATACACAACCCCCCCCTCACCTCCTTCACACCTTCTTCCCCCCCCTCCCCCAGAATGCAGGTACCACATTTCGTGGCGGACAGATGGCACAAGGCGGGGCAAACCAAACTCTTCTTGTTCCCTCCCCCCTCTTCCCCTCTTCTGTCCCACTTACTCTTGTCGCGTGCGGGGAAAGAGGAGGGGAGGAGGAAGAGGAGGGGAGGGCGGGGGAGAGGAGGGGAGGGCGGGGGAGAGGAGGGAGGGCGGGGTAGAGGAGGGGAGGGCGGGGAAAGAGGAGGGGAGGGGGGAGAAAAGGAGGGGGAGGGGGAGAAGAGGAGGGAGGGGGGAGAAGAGGAGGGGAGAGGGAGGAAAAAGAGGGGAGTGCAGGGAAGAGGAAGAGAGAAGGGAGGAAGAGGAGAGGAAAGAATGCGAGGAAAGAGGGGAGAGAGAGAGAGAGAGAGAGAGAGAGAGAGAAGAGAGAGAGAGAGAGAGAGAGAGAGAGAGAGAGAAGAGAGAGAAGAGAGGTGACGGGATAGGGGTTTTGAAGTAGTAGCCTTGCTGCATGTGTTTGCTAACTTACCTTGTTTGTACCTTGATGATATTAATACGACGGACCGTTCGGAGAGAGAGAGAGAAGAGAGAGAGAGAGAGAGAGAGAGAGAGAGAGAGATAGAGAGAGAGAGAGAAGGAGAGAGAGAGAGAGAG